GAGTGGAATAAGTCCTCCGTAACAAACAGACATACACATAGGTTTATGCTTAAAATGGATTTAAATCGTAATTTCGAAATAATTAAATTGAAATACGAGATTAATTATCATCAACAAATATGGTTGCTGATTGTTGAAAATATTTTTTGTGCTTGAATATCATTTCGCAAATTAGTTGTCTTAACCAAATCGTCATCCCTCTCGTGCTTATTTATTCCATTCAAAATAACTGAGATAATATTTTTATCTCTATAATTATATCATGAAATACATGAATTAATGTTAAATATATGATTAAGTTAAAAAAAATTGATTAATTACCTAACCATCTCATTTAGTTGTCAGATATATCAAAGTTCCTCCCAATCTTCATTGAAGCGGCAAGTTGTGAACGCCTGAGGGATGTAAGTCTGACAATGCTCACTCCAGCGTCAGCACTTGTACTTGCAAAGTTCTAGAACATCCTCACTACAAAGGACATATTGTTGCGAAGCACTATACATAACAGATGTAACATTGTTGTTCAATTTTTTATAAGGTTTTTTTTAAATATTATAAGGTGGCAAACGAACAAGCGGCCATCATAAGCCCATAGACAACCCGCAAGTGGATATGCATTGCCTACCTTTAATCGTCAGAGTGGACGCATAGTTATGTTTTGTGCTCACATAAAAAAAATACATTTATTTTTAATTATATATGAAACCGAACTTAAGTTTCAAAGCATCGACATGTGTATGTGAACTTAATATAAACTTAGTTTAATATTGGCGTGCCGCGGGTTAAATTGATTACCCTGAACAAACTTATCTAATTGAACTAAATGTTACAAAGCCTTATGTGTGTACGATATTAATTTATGCGTTAGGCCCTTCGTACACTAGACAACGTAAATGTTCAAGACCCTACGATTTTAGTCGCCAAGCGATTTATGCAATACAAAGTTATAGAGATTCATGCATATACATACACAGGTTGTCGACATTTCTATCTGTCGTCGCCACCGCCAGACGCAAGCAGCCTGTTTGCCACGAAAAAGCCTATGTTAAATAACAAATAATTTATAGTTTCTTAAGTAAAAATTGTAATAATGGAACTCTTGTAAAAAATTACGTGAGAGAAAAACTAACTAAAGAGGACATATTCAAAGCGGGTGACGGATTAGAGTTATGGCCATCGATGAGTATAATCTGCAGCTTCAAATGTACCGAACACCAAAGTATGATTCTTTGCTTTAATTTGCTTGATAAAAATTGACATAAAAATTTGCTAAACCCTTAAGGAATTTCAGATTTAATTTAGAAAGTTTTGTTGGAGTACAATGTAACATGAGTAAAGTTTGGGTTTCATTAAAGACGTAATAAAAGTAAAACAGAGAGAACTTGTGTCGGCGCGAGTTGGAATTGTAATGTATGTTTTCAACATTTGAAGGTCTCGTTATAAAAAACTTGGTGAGACACAGACGAATACTTTTATAATGTAAAATATAAAACTAGCTGTCGCCTAAAAAAACTTAATTAGTAGCTTATATGTTCTTCCTGACTGTGTTCTACATCTATTCCAAATTTCAACCGCAGCCGCTTTGGTGATACTTCCAAAGATCCATCCATCTTAACATTCGCATTTATAATATTAGAAAGAAGTACTAACGTGTCGAAAGCTTAATAGTTAATCATTGCCCAGTTGATAGCGGTAATACTAAGTTAAGATAGGTAGGGATGTGAATTCGGTTGAAGTGACATATAGATAGGAAAAATATCCTTTTACTGTATATCCTCTCCTGCGTCTTTCAATAGGCGTTTATAAGCAGCAGTCACTTTGGTATTTCAGCTATTTTAAATGGCTGTAGTTTACTAAACTTCAGCGTAATTATCTGCAACTGTACCGAATGTTAATATGTCAATATACTTAATTAATAACCCTTACAGTGATTGGTGAATGTGTAGAGGATGCTCAAATAGCCGTGAAAAGGACGCAATGGATATCCAAGTAGCGATTCGTGACAAGCTTAATTGATCGTCCCATTAGCAATCGGGACCACGTTCTGATAAAGGGACGGGCTGTAATAATTTCGACATTAAACGTAGTGATTTTCCGATTATATCATCATCAGCTAACTATACGTCCCCACTGAGGGGCTCGGAGCCTACCCTAAGTTAAGGGTGATTAGGCCATAGTCAACCAGGCTGGCCAAGTGCGGGTTGGTTGACTTCACACATATCTTTGAATTTCTTCTCAGATATATGCAACCTGCATTACGATGTTTTCCTTCACCGTAAGAACATCGGATAAATGTACATATGTAAATCAGAAATCGAAAAACATATTGGTATGTACATGGCGGGATTCGAAACCAGGACCTGCAGATTGCAAGTCAAGTGCTTGACCCCTGAGCCACCGACACTCCGATTATATGTCCATCGATCCGTCCATCATTCTAAACTTTCGCATTTTCAATATTAATAAGATAATAAAGATGATAAGTTATTTTTATGTTGTGTAACGATCGGTTTCATTTAAAAGATATTGTTATCCTACTCTTTGTCCTTGTAAAAACAGAGATAACAATATCAAACTCCCGAACACAATATCGTAGAATTTTATCAAAGAGGATTTTTCTTTAGAGTGTCCTTAAGCATTGAAGTGTAGCTCGCAAGCCGTCATTGAAAACCTACTCGATACGCCTTCATCTTTATTCCTGTTAAAGGACATTGTTATGATACGAAACTTTGTTGTTTGTAACAATTATCGAATATCTATATATATATATATATATATATATATATATATATATATATATATATATATATATATATATATATATATATATATATATATATAAAAGGTCGTGTTAGTTACACTTTAACTCAAGAACGGCTTTATCGACATGGTTGAAAATTGGTTGAGCTTAGAGCCAGGAGACGGACATAGGATATTTTTCTGTAAATTGACCTTTGGATGAACCCAAGTCTATTAATAAGCACTAAACTCAAAACAAACTTTATTAATAATATATTTTTCATTTATGGGTATAATTATTAAAGGAACGAAAATTTTGAGTAACGTATTACTGTATAGAAGATTCGTAGGTATATTTTGGAACCGAGTCACGTGTGGCTTTGATGAACTGCTCTCGATAGTAATGTGACAAGAATTTCAAACTTCCTATTTTTCTTGTGATTGACATAAAATGTAGATATTCTATATTCTTATAGACATCGTAAGAGAAGTTTCCATACAAAATAATTGTCATAGTTTTTTCAGAGACCGAGGTAGATTGCAATATGTTTTTATATGTGTGTATCAACAGCGGAAACCTAATTTATAATATAGAGTGATATAACATTGTTGTTATTTTCCTCTTCATTCGAATAGTCTTCAACAATCTTGCCCGAAAGAAATTTTTGAAGAGTCACTACAAACAAGAGCAGGCTCGAAGTCCATCTCATTACGTGCTCGTAATGAGATGGACTTCGAGTTTGTTAATATTATCCAAGTACTTCTGTACTTACGAGTAGATAATATTTCTTAAAGATATTACTTTATACGCAACAATTATTATTTCTTTAGGGTATTTCAAAGACGACAAAAAGGCAACCCGTTGTAATGATACGAGTTTATTATGAAAATGAATCTAACAATAATTAATTGTTAAATTAATTCTCATATATTTACATTTACTTTATATATTAATTCGAAGTAAGCAATTTAAATAACTTTCAACTTATTTACTGAACACAAATGATTTAGCAGAACGCGGTAGGTAACGCTGGCAACATAGTATTACGAAATCTATTGTAGTTTGTGCGATTATCCAATTGCCAAGGCTTCGGATGTAACTAATGATGACCCGTGGGCCGTTACGGTCACCTATATATAAAGCTATTTGTGTTAATTGGCGCCAGTAACAATGGCCTATCTAAGTGTTGTGGTGACATTCGCGGTAATGGCGGCCAGCGCAGCCGCCCCCAGTGATCGTAAGTCCTATCTTATGCCCACTGCCGAATGATTACGTTATCCTTATTTACTTTGTAATATCGTTAAATGATAAGCAGCTAAAGGTACTTACTGTATACTTAAATATTGGTTAACTGAACTCTCCTCTTTAACGCCCATAAGCTGTGTAAATATTACTTTCAGTAATCTTTCAGTTATGTGAAGCAAGTCTTTATTATATCGGATAGTGAGTCATCACCTGTGTCAGTCTACTGTTAGACATATGTATGTAAGCCTTCCACAATACCTTGACATGGATGAAGATAGTCCCAGATTGCAGATTACATGGCGAATTAACCATGCCTTGTAGAATAACTCGGCATAACGAAACTTACCTATAGTCTCGGAAAAAGAAAATACTTGGTCCAAGAACTTTGCCCTCCAAACTCCATACAACTCCATTGAATGTATATTGTTAGTACATCTTCAGGTAAATGCATGTATGCATTATGTTATTACATTTATGTTCTCAAGAATGAATTCATTAAAGATTATGATTCTCGTAAGGATGACTTAAGAAAATCAGGGAAATCAATGAGCTAAGGAGAGACTGGTTTTTCTTCAGATTTTACATACGTTCTCTTTGCCTTTGTGTCGAATGTCACCTATATATCTCAGATTGATTAATTAAACCTGTTTTAAAATTATAAATAAAAAAGACGTCCACCGTATGCAATCCACGTTTAAACAAAAACTTTATTTGCATTAAATTAGTTTATAGAAAACAGAGTGTAAAAAAAACATTATTAAAACACAAAACCTGCCCCAAATAAATTTGTAACAGGGATAATGAAATATTATAAATACTAAATAAATACAAGTAAATCTTCTTAACACGTCTTCAAATATCACTTAAAATTTTAACTAAATCACTTCCAAATAAAACAATATGACTCAATTACGTATTGAAATTTAAAAGAAAATAAACAAACAACTCATTTAAATTAAACTCATCTTAAGTTTATATAATTAAGTTTAATTTTTATATTATAACAAAGTCAATTCCAAATTAAAATTGTTTGTGGATTGCAATACAGTGTAAGACAAAACATACGTATCGTAAAAGTTCTTGCAACTGATATTAACAAAAAAAATTGTACAGTAAAAATGGATATAATTTTACTTTTTAATCATAAACTCTTTTACTAATCTTAATATTTCTTTAAATAGTTACTTATTCAGTTAAATTTATCCAAACTTTTAATAAAGCCACTTGTCTAATCCATGAAATAATTAATAATTTAGAAGGTATTATGGTGATATAATTCTCAATAGGTATCGCGAGATACTTTTACGATAGGTAATAAAGAACTTAATTAATAAACTTGCAATTTAGTAACATTAGACAAATATAATAGATTAATAAATTAATAATTAATAAACGTTAAAATGAAAATTCTTAAAAGATTTATAGCTGTTTCATAAATAACGTTTTTCGTTTCTTTTACTGTAACTTTTAAATCTGAATCGAAGAGTTGTTCCATTTGGCAAAATTTGCTCGCAATGCTATTTATCTGTAGAGTAAAGCAGAAGTAAAGTCGCAGACAAAACTGATAAAGCCTATTAACTATAGGGGAGTTAAGAGGCTCCACTATTTGAAAAAACGGCGAGCACACCGTCCGAAAAAATGTCTTCGGTTTAGGTGAACAAACAGAACAGCTAGTTTCAACACGACTATTTTTTTGTAGCAAAACAGGGTGAATATCTTTATCGATGTATTTCCTAACGAAGTCTTTAGCTATTTGATTATGTCTATTTCTTTTGAATATATTTTTAAGTGTATATGCCTGTAAAACTCTGCATTGATATTTAATGTTTTTTTCATAACAACAATTATTTACAATATTTTCTTGAGAATACGCTTTCAGACAATTATCAGAATAATTAAGACATACAGTTGAACTTTTTTCGAAATTGGGGCAGGCAGGTTTGGATCTCCACCTCCGAGGTTTGGCTTTAACACTATAACTTACTGAGCAGCATGTCGGTTTGGGGTTCAAGCAACTAGATTTGGGTTTACGTTTCCCAGGATTTGGTTTTATACAATAACATACTGAACAACATGTCGGGTTAAAACTTGGGGCGGGTGGTTTGGGCGGTTTGGGTTTACTCTTCTGGGGAAATTTTTTTATGCAGTAACACACCGAACAACACATCGGTTTAGTTGCAGTGGCTACAGTTTTCACCTTATTTGCTTTACATGGGGACGGGTCACATTTTGTGGAGGACCCTTTGTTCTTGCAACTTTTCTTATCGCTTTTCGCTGGCCGTCGTTCTTTTGTTCTATTTTTATAAAACTCTATGTGAAAACTGAAATTAGAACCGATCCGAACGACTTGGCATTTAGGTGGTTTTGCTGGACAGGTTTCGTGTTTTTTAGCTGTACAACACTTCTTATCAGGTTTTTCTTTTGCCGGACACTCCAGTTTCTGTTTACCTGGACACGTTCCACTTTTTTCTCCAGGACACTTTCCCTTTTTGGATTTCTTAACTTTTGCTGGTACGCACGTATATTGATTCTCTTCAAGAGTATTACAGGATTGCGAACGACATTTCGGTTTGGTGTTATTTTTTCGGCATTTATAAACAGCTATAGGACATGCTGGGCGTGATTTATCGACATATGTACCAAATCTAAAAGTTTCGCTTTTCGTGCGAATACAATTTGGATTCCTCTCATCTTTAATCATCTTAACACACACAATTGCTGTTGTATTATCTTTTTTCTTATCTTCAACGTTCAATTTAATACAACTCGCATTTTTCTTAGCGCTTTTTCCTTTCGCGTTTTGTTTCACATCTTTCTTTGCCACTTTTTTGGTTTGAGTTTTTTTATTACATTTACATACGTCGCATTTCTTTAAAACAATTTTTTTCGGACATTGTTTCCCACATATTTTTTCTCTACTCTTTATAATTGAATTCAAAGAGCGGGTACTCATGCAAGGCTTCGGTTTTAATTTAGCTTTGACTTTAGCACAACAACCTCCTTTTGGAAAAGGATCGGTATGAGTTCCCTTTTTAAACAGAGATATTTTAGCTTGAGACGCCTTCCTGCAGGTGGTCTCCTTTTGACATCCAATATTTTTGCTGCTCTTTACTTGTACTAGTGGTTTGTCATCACAAAGTTTTTTCTTGATACAACATCTTGCAATACACGGCATTTTTAAATCATTACCTTTCGTACAATCTAGTTTCGTACAGCTTTTCACAACCTTACGACATTCTTTTGGCAAACTATTTAACAGTTCTTTTTCAAGGGGAAAACATTTCATCATGTCCTTAGTATCACAGGAGCTTTTGCCTTTAGCGCTACGACTATCGTCATCAACACTTTCTATAGCTTCAACTTGCACGCACGTAGTTCGATTGCAACATTTTTTGACCACTCGTTTTATGAATACGTTTGTCTGCTTGCGAGGCTTTTCGGGAGTGACTTCCGCGCACGGCTCACAGGCCTGAATGGATCTCTCTCGTGAGCACGGACGTGAGCATGATGTTTTTTCATTGCAACAAATTTGTTTACGGTCCTTTACGGGAAGCAGGACGGCGCCTTTGTCTACAGTATTAATAAACTGGACGATTGCTTTAATTTTTTGAGCTTCACATGGTGACAGATTCTTCACACATTTACCATCAATACTAGTAAGACTTTCACAAACTTGATTCCTAGTTTCATCGTAAACGGCTCTTGATTTTAATAACTTTTGGAGCAACTTCGTTTCTTTGGGTTGCAATACACATGGACTGCACACATTGTAAATTTTAAACTGTTGAGGATAAATGGTTTTGATTTGTGTTTTACTGTCCAGCTTGCGTGGGCAAAAGGAGATACTTTTTCTAGGACAAATAAAAGTATCCGAAGGCGGTTTCATGGTACTAGAACCTTCACTTTGATTCTTTTAGCATTACCAAAAATTACGATCCTTTTACCGCGCGTTGTAACAACTGCACAAGTTTACGTTTTAAAATTGAAATAGCTGAAAAAAAAGGAGAATTAGATAATAACAAAATGCAATTTGTAAATTTATTAAGTCATGCAATTAAGAGAATACTATAACAAGATACAAAATGTGGAATAATGTAACGGTCACCTTATGGAAGGTAACGTATGTTTGTAAACTTTAAAATTTGGTTGTTGAGAAATTTGTGAACGGGTGGGTCAATCTAAACAGCGTACAAAAATTTCTAAAATCAATACTATTGGACAAGTAATATAATCAATTATGTAGAAGTCTTAACAATAGTGTGTTTTATCACATCTGCTTATTTCTATCATCAATTATGACGTCCACAATTTTCGACATTTGCTTACATCCAAAAAAATGAAACATAAAAATCGTACTTACTGTTTCTCAACTTTATTACTTTTCACATAATACATGACTCTCTAAAATATACCTTTATCCGTGTATAAAAATATTTACAGAGAATTTAATCATTCTATATTTGTACGAATAATTTTTGACTATCATAGACCTGTCACTAAAAATATTTGATTTTTGAATGACACTAACAGATAACAAACAAACAATCCAACAAATCTTTTAATCAAAATATTAGCTAATTAAAATTACAGATGCGAACTACATAATCTGATTTATTGTAAATAGTTTTAAAAAAATGCACTTTATTCAAAGTATCAAAACAATAACTGCTATGAGGTATGTAGCACTCGGGATGGTCATACGAAGGATAGTGGCGCCCTTATAAACTTAACGACTTTTTTGCCAGGCTATATAATTGAAAAATTCTAATACCAAAAACGTTCAAAAGCAAAACCAGTAATTTTGTGGGACTATTTATAAAACTTTGAAGTTGCCATTAACTTTTTTCATATCATAAAGTGTTTATCTCCGTGGCAAAAGAATATGTGGCGACCTGATTTCGCCGAAATAGCGAAGCGACCGCCACCCACAGACCGGCAATTGCCGGTGCGTTGCGAACCTTTAATCGACAGTGGCGGGGATACACTCATTTCCCCTACTTATGGGTCCTGTCCTTGATCAAATCCACTTCCCCTTCCCATCCTCTCTTATAAGAAAGTGGTGGCAAGGGAAAGAGGATAAAATTAGACCTCCGAAACGCACACTAATCCCACAGCAGAGTAAACGCTGAATTACTTCCACTTCCCGATGTTTTCAGTGTGGTTGTGATATTGCAACGGGTGAACTGGCCCATTTATGCAACAGATCTTGCAGTTGCTAGTGCCTACCACTGTGAAATAAATTAATAAAGAAGCGTGAAGAGAAGTATAAACACCTACATTATGAAAAGCGCCATCTATCGAAAGCGTAAGAGAACAAAGTGAATATTCTAAAATATGTGAAATTCTGGTAAAAATATTATGTAGAAAGACAGATTGATGGCAATTCCATATATAAAGCTTAACCTTAAGAAGTAGAGCTTAAATTGCCTTTTGCTGTTTGGGTCAGTGAAATACCTTTACCACCAGCAGACAGTAGTTAAGTAGAATATTTGATGTTTCATGTGTAGAGTGAGGTCCCGATTGCCTGATTCTAATCTTTGACTTCCCTTTTCTAATAAGGAAAATAGGAGTAGGAGAAATTAAAGAGGAAAATAAGGTTATTGTACATTGGCACCTTTTAAGAAATGTTTTGGGTTTATGTTTTTTATTATTTATATTTATTTACATTCAAGTAAAAAAAACTTAATGGTTTGAATATTATACCTTTTCAACCTTGTTATTTTTACAAATATCATCTTCATCATGTTCAGATTCACTATCACTGCTCGAGTCACTGGGTGGCCACATAGGTTTGGAATCATCATTTTCTTTACCCGCACTCTCTAAAAATTCATTCTGAGCTTCTAAAACACTTTTGCTGTCAGTACAAGCACTATAAAGATTTAAAACATCCGAATTTAATTCTAAAAATGAATGTCCCCATGAAAATTTAGACAAATAAAATTTTGCTTCTTGTTTATGGCCAGTAATAAACATAGCTGCAGCCAAAGCCTCTACACAGCTGAGTTGATAAGGCTTGCCATAATTTATAGGATTTGCTGCTACTAAAAATGGCAGAAGTCTTGGATGTGGAGATTTCATTCGACCAAATGGTGTTTCATCAATTTTTGCCCAAGAACAATCAATCACAGCAAGACCATATTTTTCAATGATATCTTTGTCATTTGGGCTTACACACTGACTGCCAACTGGTGATAATACAAGGCCCGGAAATCTCTGCCCAAGTTTTAAGTTTTTTATTAGGTTATGCCTTAACAATTTTCTTCCAGAGCACTTTTTAGGATCACAGTGATTTAAATCCCACATGCTAATACAGAAATTAGCTTGAATACCTTCTTCGCTATCGGAATTGTTGGACGAATCTGTATCATTTGTACTTTCTAAACCGCTCTCTTCCGATGAGTGTACGCTGAGATCCTTTAGTCTTTCAGCATAATTTCGTTCGACATGATGATTTGACCGCTTCCCCCGAATACCACCTCTTTTTCCTGGTGCCATTGTTACAAATATATCATATGAAAATGGATATAATAATTTTTGTTTACACTTATAACCTTAACAAATGTGTCAGTTTGACTTTGACAAGTTCTCAATGAGAGCAAGACCTGACATTGACATATCACAAATCGAATCACAAGGCAATGTTGCCCTAAAAGAGATAGTTGGAAAAAAATATATATTCTTAAATATGGCGAAAAATGTAGTTTCAACGGTTTTATCAAAATTAAACAAAATATTTATGACTTAAACTTGATTAAATTTTATGTAAATGGATAAACTTTCGATTTGTGCTTGTAACTTGCTAGTAATAAATCATTATTTCATAGCAGTGCTTGCTACTGATCGCTTTTAAATAAGTCAAAAGAATTTAAAAACTTTACTACTTCAGAAGTGATGACATTAATTCAAATAAAATTGACAGTTACAATAGGTTAACAAAATTTGTTGATGTAATATAAGTATTTCAACAAATTAGTTGATTATTTTGTTTGTTGTAAAAGTTTTAGGGAAATTATTCAAAATTGATTTCTCACGAGGAAGAATGAGCAGTGCCTCTATGGCCGGTGAGTTTTTATTTTGCAAAAACCAATAATGGAATCATTTGAATATGTTGATAAAAGAAAAACAAATACATAGGCAGGCTATCGAGAAACTAAAGTCGTAACATATCTTCATCTGATCTTAATCTAGGATCTGAAAGAAAAGTCAGTTTGGAGCAGTTTTTTATTTGGTTTTCGATGTACCCTTGTTTTATGGTAAAAATATAGTAAACCGTTTGATAAAACCACTTTGAGAATGCTACGTAATTATAATAAACTAATTTGAGAGCAAAAAAAGTTGATAGATATTGTTTGCACAATGATGATATATACTAATCTTTACAAATATGTTTGCATAATACAATTACGCGTTAATAATATGGCTACCAAGTACCTATAATAATATTGTTTATACTTTTAAAATCAAAGGAACTGACATATAATAAATATATTATCACACATTATATTGAATTCACACAAAATAAAACTTGGTTATTATTATTTTGGTACGAGAAACTGTAAATATTTTTTACATCATTACAATGCCAGTTTTAAAGCATCATACGGCGTAAATTACATCGTTGAGTCATGTAAAATTCAATCGATAGTGGCATCCTTGAATTACATCGCTGAGTCATTGAATCAATATTGATGTCCTTGGATTCTCATCCACCATATCTTTAGATTACCATCATATTACACGGAATATTGCCTTGATGTCATGCCACCGTAATAATACTAAATCACAAAGATACTCATTCAATGTCTCATTTAATCGTATCGAAATATTCCAATTTTGTAAAAAAAAAAACAAACAGACACTTGAGGAAAATAGGAACATCTCACTCGTCAGAATCGGTTTAGTATTTTAGTTTACAGGAGCTTACATAGCTTTTTTGTCAGAGCGTTTGATCTTAAAACAATTTTCTCATGGTATGTAACCCACGCTGCGTAAAAGGAGCAAGGATATTTTAATCTATTTCGAGCTAAGTGACTCCATATGTTCGCTAGTGTTCTGTGGCGTGAATCATACAACCTTTAATTATTTACTTGTACAAATCTACAAACAACAAAGCATACGACTATCGTTTTATAGCGACGTATAGCGTTTAAAAATTAAAGATAATTATGGTGTATTTTAGAAATAGTTCATCGATTTTCTACCAGCGCAACTGTCGTTTACAGTGCCATCATTATTATAGTATTGGAAGTTATAGGAGTTACAAGTCTCGATACCGTTACGTTTGAAAAGTCGGCAATAAGTAAGTTTAAAAAATTTACTTATGTTTTTGCATTGTATGCGTAAAATTAAAATATTTTTCCGTTCCCCTTTTTTACGTAAACTGAAATAAAAACCATTTAGTTGGATTATATTCGTTGTTCAATTCCATCGTGTAGCTGCGCCGTTAAACTGAACCTCTTATCTTAATGGTTCCAACCAATTCGATCGCCTATTTCAGTTATTATATTCCTTCTTGACATTTCAGGTATCATTAAACATCAAATAACTTCCTTATTTAACCGATGAGCTAGCCTATAATTAAGCTTATTTGAAGATTTTAAAATGACAACGATGATTTCGTCAGATAAGTTGCAAATAGGTTATTCAAGTCTTTATTTAGACATAATGACTGTTTCGTTATGTCCTAAGGCCGAGCACTCACGGCCCGGTTCAACGCGCGCACGTAGAATGCAGATTTGTGATTTGTATGTTGCAGGCGGCGCATAAATAAAGTTAATGTTAAATGTAGTACTTTAATAGGCAATCGATTGACGAAACTTACGGGCGAGAACCGGAGCCGCAGACGGACAATTCTGCCGCCTAATCCCAGCACGATTATAAACCGGATCATCAGTGCATAGCCTGAGACAAATAACCATTACGTCTCGCTACAATTGCGACGCCTCCGAAAACATTCCAAGATTACTGTCAAGCCGATTGTTACGGCGTAGGTTGGGCTGATTCACTGAATACGATCGTCCTTGACTCGCCCTTTAGTTGAATGTTTCTGGAAAAGTACAAAATATCGATTTAACTAAAATATTCATGTACCTGACGACAGTTGTGGTTGAAACTATCATTATTAATGTATGTAACTAGAATATCATCGATAAAAGTTTAGCGTACAAGTATTATGTGGGTCGATAACTTGTTTTCTTATGTAAGTGTAATATAGAGGTTCTATTTAATTAACACAATCATAATATTTAAATCTGAACCAAGATTTAACGACTTCAAACAATAAAACCTATTTAAATATTGAACCCTATTATTGCTGTGTCCTTTGATTCCTTGGCTTTTAATGGCTGGTACAAAAACCTTGGCTATTAATCGATATGACCGATAACATTGAATTGAGTTACAATATAAATTATGTAACTTAATAGCATTGTACCTATTGTGAAGAATTTCGGCGACTTTGTTTTTTCTTGACGTCCAATAATCAACAAGGGCGTCAAGGTTTTGTGGGCTTCGCTAAAATAATTTTGTATGATAAGAGGGTAAATCAAGAAAAAGATTGAAAAACAATGATGTAATGAATATGTGTGTTTACTCTGCAGCCTGCTTCAACTACGACACCAAGTCGAAAGGGAATAAATTCGACGCAAAGGACATTATGGATCCAGCCGCAGGTAAGTTTTGATATCAGTATTTTATAACAGATTCGTAAGAAGTAGTTCCTATAAGTGAAAAGAAAGATATCATTTTATTATCCCTAAACTTAGAAGAAAGATAGTATAATAAAAAATATAAAATGGGTCGTATCTAATTAAATATTTGGGGGCCAGACGGTTCATGCCATGTTAATGGTCGCATGCTATTTGATTTAGACTAGCTGCACGCGAGCCATGTAAGCCAGCAGTTTGTATCTTGTGTTAAATTTGTTTATTTATAAATAGCACGAAGATCACTACAAGATATAAATGTCTAGACGATGATTAAATCAAAAAGTCTAAGAAGTTAGGAACAGAAAAAATTTCATCCCGATACAGCACCAATTTTACTGGGCTAGATAAGTTTGTGAACAATGTACTGGTTTTGTAACTAGCCACTTACAAAGTACCTTTCCTATCAGTATTGCGTCACCTTATTTTTCAAAACAATATGCAGTATGCTATGAAGTTTAAAAGGATTACGCTATTTTTTACAGTGTAAGTATTCTCAACTCTCAAAGTAGGCGCTTATTAAAATAAATAACATGGGCGCCATATATTTCCACTTCAAGAAGAAATTAAGAAAGTGATGAAACAGTCACATGCTATTACGAGTCATCCGTGCAAGCCCTATATTATCTTCTTGAATATTCGAAAAATAAAATTGCATCGAATTCAAAACAAAACCTCGCTACATTAGTATCATTTTGTTAGTCGTATAATATTCTTCGTGCGGGCAAGACGTATTGCAACTTTTAAATAAACGTTGGAATTCAATGACCAGATTATAAAGTGAAATTGTTTCGTTTCAAAATTAATCGTTAAAAATGGTTGAAATGTATCTAGGTAAACCACACACTTCATCAAACAGTAAGTACATTGGATTTTTAGGTTATATTATGTACAATGTAGGAAATTTCTGTAATTGTTGAGCTTGATGTTTTTAAGAAAAATACATAACAAAAAGATTATGCTACTTTCTAAATAAATGGTATTATTCTTCGTTGCTTTTCAAATTATTTGAAATATATTTTTCGTGTTACGTACGGTATATACGTTTATTAGATGCGGACTGTTATTTATATTAGCTTTTTAAATGTAATTAATAGGTTATAATACCTACCTCTTTCAATCATTTGCTCCTAGTTTTTGCAATAAAGGGCAAAATGCACTATTTTTATTATGACACCGCTGTCAAGAGTTGTAATAATGAAAAATAAGCGTTTTTTTTTTATTTTTTACAAACCGGGTCACCTTCACCGTAAATGTAACAACATATAAGGCATTTAACTTATGTAATTTATAGTGATTATTTCGTATTTGCCGGTTGTTATTGCGTTAATATTTTGTGACGCATTATGATGTTTGTGTACAAAATGGATGCCGGCCGGCCCCAACCGCAACAGAGATTAGCAGATTAGGGATGGCAGGAATGCAAACATACCGGTGCTCTGTGTCAGAAAAATCGACTTTTTAATAGCTAGAATTTTACAATCCCGATGAGCAGATTTTATTTTATTTTTATAAAATCGAAAGATCAGAGCAAAATTTTTGTTTTTACATTGCGCTTACAGCCCTAGAGTCTTGTGCAATAATAAGATGCAAGAACAAGGAAATATAGATGGCGCTTTCACCATTTTTTCCACTTTGCCTTTTTGAATTTGATAATTTGGGTTTTTCGCACAAATAAATCCTTGGTAAAATAAAAAGCTTAATGTATTGTCTTGAATTTTAAAGGTATATCACATTTGTTTATTTTTATGGTGGTTGTTTGAAAATTGCAGTAGCATGGCATCGCCCTCAGTCTGCTACGTCCAGGGTGGAGGAGGAACTGATTCAGAAGAGTACCCGGGCTGCCACTTCGGCAACAGATCCCTTGGAGAAGCTGCGGCTCCTGTGCTTGTCTCGGGGAGCCACTGGGATACTGGTCCTGGCAAGGTTAGGATCTCAATATTTACAGAACATTGCACATGTTTTTTTATTTCTGAAATACAATATAAATTAGCCGTAACAGTAAGATTTATTTAATATGTAAGGCCTCTAAAGTACCACGAACTACTAAAAGATATGCGAGAAGTGTGTTTTAGATTGTTAAATTTTAAAAAAGCATAATATATTGAAGACAGTTATTGGAGAAAGTAGCTCAGTAAAGTCTTGCGGGTTGTATGAGGTGATTCCTATTGAGATTTATTTTTCTAGCAGTGGACATCTTTGTTAATGATGATCCTTAAAATCCAGGTTCTTCAGAAGAATGGATGACGATGGAAGTAACCAACTAAATAAAGAGGAATTTATCAATGGCTTGAAGGAAACAGGACTAGAGATGACAACGGAGGTATGTATACATCTCATAATATTAATGTGCTAATTAGTAAGCCTTTTAAGAAATTTGGATTTTAAAACGCAATTCTTAACAAAATCCTTTTTTTTTGTTAATTATACATAAAAATAAGGTTGGAGTTCAAAAGACACTGGTTTTATAATTTTTCTTTAATTCTAGGAATATGAAGAACTATTTCATAAATTTGACACCGACAACAGTGGATCTATTAGTCTTGATGAATTTATCAAACAACTGCGTGTAAGTATGTAGATTATTCATGTTATACTAGCTGTCGCCTGCAACTCTGTATGCGCAGAATTACCAAAAATTTAATTAGTAGCCCATGTGTTTTTCCAGACTATATACTTCATTCCCAAATTTCATCTAGATTTGTTCAGTCATTCTGGTGATACCTTCTAACAAACATCCAATCATCCATCCATTTCAATATTTACAATGCCTCTTCATGAGATGTATACATTATAGTATAGAGTCACCCCTACAGGAGTCTTGTAAGCCACTCCCATCCCACAGACACCTAAGCACTTAGATTGTGACATTACATATTTATTATATTCCAGCCTCCTATGTCCGAGTCGCGGCGCGCCATAGTGGAGCGAGCATTTAAGAAATTAGACAAAACAGGCGACGGTGTTCTGTCTGTGAACGATATAAGAGGAGTTTATTCTATGGAAGCTCATCCTAGGTAAATAAAATTAAACTGCAGAGGTATAATTAAGTAATTTCTAAGGAATAAGTAATATTATTTAATGGTTTTTGTTTGCAGATACATGAGTGGCGAGGAGACAGCCGATGTGGTGATGACAAGGTTCCTCGCCAACTTTGAGCCGGATGGTGCCAGTGACGGAACGGTAATTAATTAACACTTTGAAATTATTATACTATCAATGTAGCCATACTGTAACCTTGACATATTGCCAATGTTGCTAAAATTGAAATTTGTAAATGGCAATATTGATTGACAGTACTATTACGACAAACTTTTAACAGATTTTGTGTTTTCACATAGTAAATGCATTGTTTTACAATTTTGCGTATATTTGTGGTTTTTAATAAAAACAATTTGTCAAACATCCAACATCTTTGATTAAAAATGATTGTTTTAGGTTTGTCGTTTTTTGAATTATGGACAGACATCATGGACGGATTTTAATTATATGTTTTGTAACAGGTAACACTGGAGGAGTTCATGAACTACTACAGTGGCATCAGCGTCTCCATTGACAATGATTGTTACTTCGACTTGATGATGCGTCAATCTTACAAGTTGTAATTTCCTTACCCCACAAAGACAACATGCATAAATAAAAACGTTTATTACGCACGCACGCAGCAACTCAGTTCGACAATTGCTTAATGCTTAATGTTATGCATAAAATTATATTGGTGTTTCATTGTTCATGATAAAGTATGACGAGTGTATTTATAATAAATGTTTAACAAAAACGTATTTTTATTTTAACCATAATTTCTTAGTTCTTGGATTTATTAATCCTAAATGGCTGCCAATACGAAGCGAATATATCGAAGCGCCAATTTATTGTCACATTTGACATTTCATCGTAATTCCACTTTATAATTGGTTTACTTTTTCAAATTTCGATTACATTTACACGTGACGCATACCAAATTTCCAAAATCGTCTCACGATTAAATTGTGTATGTAACACTATTTCGGAATAATTTGACAAGGGAATCCTGTGAAGTATGAAGTATTCATTTTGTATGAGATTAATGTTGTACTTAATAGACGGTTTTCATATTGTCGACTGTACGTACGCGCAAAACGACCGACTATCGAGATTCGTTCTTTTAATAAAAGTAATCGAACAAATAAGTACTGTAATTTAGGTATTTTATTACTTTCTTAATTATTACAGTTAATAAATCGAAATGATTATTGCCCATTTCACTCTACCCATCTCTAGTGAACTGTCAAAATAATCATCCTTAAATAGACATAATATTGGTAACTTATCTATGACCTAAGTAGGTTTTACTTATTTTTTTACAGACCTAACCAAAGAGCATATCAAAGAACCAACCGCGATAGCAGCGCCTCTTACAGATTAAGATAAGCGTTAAGCTTGTCGTACTATCATATTGGAAATAATGATAATCATAGTTCTAACATCATTAATAAAATGATTTAAGGGAAATGTGAACCTTGGAAATAAAACCTTTCTTTTATATCATTAATCATAGGATCGTATTCATTCATCCTACAAAGTATAAGATCTGATCAAAATCCCTAGATCCTTTTCCCCATCCCATTGATATTCAACTGGATAGGTTATAAGGGGTGGTATTTTGTGCCTATTTAATGTTCGCCCTTTTGACGCTAGCGGTAGTGGTTGCTAACCATTGGTAGCGGTGTTGGAAACTCGAACTAATAACGGACTTAAAATTAGCCGTCAGTTACTTCAAGTGGCGCTTTTATTTCGGAACGAAGCAAAAGCTGTTATTTCCAAGGCGCAACCTGTCTAGCGAATACCTAGGTCAGTGTTCTTACCCCACGCGAAAAGTGGATGGAGGCAGATTTCCGTTGTTAGTCGCAGTTAGTCGTACGAAATACTTTGCTTGGTTTAGATGTATTGCGACCTTTTAATAAATAAATCTATAACGACGCAATAAAGTGAAATAATTTAATTCAATATTAAACATGGATGAAATGTATCTTGGTAAACCAAACACATTATCAAACAGTATGTACTAAGATTATATATGAAATTTCTACTATTGTACAATAGTAATACAAACTTGGTGTTTTGAAGTTATAATTAAAAAATGTTATAATGAATTTCGTTACATTTTTATTTGGTTAATTTACTGGTATATAAATAGAAATTGTTTACTAAGAGTTTCTGTTTATCAAGAGCTGTAATAATAAAAAATAAAAGTTTCGTCGTTTTTAACAAACCTGATCATTTCCACGCGTAAATGCAACAACATATGTCGCATTTTAAGTGTAATATTTTCCATATTTACTCGGTTGTTTTTGTGACGCATTATTGTGTTTTGAAAATGGATGCCGGGTGCCGGCCGGTCGCAATTGGCAATAGTAATTAGGGATGCAGCTAACTTATACCTAGGCTAGGCATTCTATAGCTGCTATAACTAAACTCAGTATATCAAAAACATCATTGTTCGAAGTTTAAACAGTCCAATAATTAACAAAGAAAATATTTCAAATAAATCTATAAAGTCCCAAAAATGTTTAGTTATACAAATAACCCTAAAGCAACAGTTGACTAATAACACAGATAGTATTCTAGACTTTGTAATAGTCATAAATAATTTTTGAACTCGCACTGAGCAAGTGTATTGCTTAATATTTTTTTTTACAAAATCGAAAGACAAAACTTCAATATTTTTGTGACAGCCCTAGAGTTTTGTGTATAAAATAAAACTTGTAAGAAGATATTATTCTCTTGCTCATCATCTAGATAGGTGGCGCTATCTTATATTCTTTCGTGCTGTTGTGAATTTTCTGCCTATGGAATTTTAGGTGCAATTAAAAAATCACTGTATTTTTTATGAACACAGTCGCCGTCTTACCCAAAATAATTTAAAAAGTGTTATAACTCGTTTTTAATATTTTATTAAGAGAAAATCACAGTTGTTTTTATAGTAAAAGCTCTATATACATACGAAGATGTTTTGACAACATTTTTTTTGTAAACCGTACATTGATATGTAAATTATGTATTATATTAGTGAATATGTCTAATTCATTTTTAACATTCGTCTAGCTATTTTTTTTGTGTCGATCTCAACTAAGATTTGGAGCAGACAACTTTATAGATCCGTTCGACAGAGTGCGACGCAATTCGCATTTGTCCTCTGAAGGTCGTATATCTGACGTGTCTTTGGTAGGGGTTAAATTATTTTTTACGTAACTTAAAGTTTCAATTCTATTGTTAGTGTACTGTTACTATATTATTACTTGTAATATATTTTTATAAGTAGACTAGTTGTTGCTCGCAACTCCGTCTGGATGGAATAAAAAATAATAATAGCCTAATTGTTCTTCCAGACTACATCTATACCGAACTTCAAACAAACATACATCCATCCATCTAAACATTCGCATTTATAATATTAGTAACTAGTATGTCTAATTTGACTTATTTTTTTAGTGAATGTAACGTATATGGTTTAACATGTTAGGGATTATTTTTTGCACCGAGCGTAAATTCGTAGTATCAGGTGTAGTTTCTGGATGGGTATGTAACTACACAGGTGCAGACATATCGACCACCTCATACGTTACGTCATCCCTATTCCGGTAAAACCCGAGTAGTACCTACAGGACTAAATAAGTATAGCGTAGTGCAGCTTAATATCATCCACTGCGTAGAACAATGCGTAAGCTTCGCCTTTGTTAAAACTTTTAGCTTCATATTCCATTAATAATTGCCATATAATTTTTCTGCTCAATCAAAATTTGAAGATTAAGAAGGGCGTTAAAATCTTAATAATATTATAAATGCGAATGTTTAGATGAATGGCTGGATGTTTGTTTGTAGGTATCGGCTTGACGGATCCGACTGAATTTAAGCAAAGTCGTAGAACATAGTCTAGAAGAACACATCGGCTACTTTTTAGGTTGTTTAATTCCGGGCGGATGGAGTCACGGGTTAAAATCCATTATCACTTTAAGGACTTGGTTATAACAGTTATCCAATCAAATCCAAATAGCTTAAATCGCGAAATAGATATAATAATGGGGATAAATAGACTCCTACTACATATGTTTTAATCAAACACAGCTTTGTAGTTTTTTGCAAAAATAAATGTTTGACAAGTTTTTACCTTTTTATGGAAGACTGTTATTAAGGTTCCGTACCTAATAGGAAAATACGGAACCCTTATAGGATCACTTTGTTGTCCATCCGTCTGTCTGTCAAGACCCTTTTTTTCTTTAGAATTTATAATCGGAAAAAACACGTGTTTATTCTTTTACGGAGTAAAAAGTTTAAAATTGCAGTAGCATGGCATCGCCCTCAGTCAGCTACGTCAAGGGTGGAGGAAGAACTGATTCAGAAGAGTACCCGGGCGGCCGCGCATGCAACAGATCCCGTGGAGAAGCTGCGGCTCCTGTGCTTATCTAGAGGAGCCACTGGGATACTGGTTCTGGCAAGGTGAGGAATTCAATAACTACAGTATACTCGACATATAATTTTGTAATTTCTGTACAATATAGTGGCCCATAACAGTTAAATATAACTATGTAAGGGTCTCTGAAGTACTATGAACTAATAAGACAGGTGTGCGAGAAGTATTCCTTGTGTTTGTTTGCTTTATCTGGAAGCTTTTTTCGTACAAGCCAAGCCTTACAATGTATATTAACAGATGTAATAAGTGATTAATTTGGTACATCAAAGTAGGTTATTACTTTCGGCACAAGAAAGTATTGTGCTGAAAGTAAAAACCAAACTTGTGCTTGAGAGGGTGCATGGAAAGGGAAGATATTTTCTTTCTATGCATCCTGTCCTCCGTCAATTAAAGGTAGGCAACGCATATGCAATTGCGTATGTCTATGGGCAACGGTCACTTCGCTATTTCAGCGATTTCAGGTTCGCTCGTTTGTCACTTTATGATATAAAAAAAAACACTAACGCTCGTTCTGCAAATCTGTTTCAAAGTCAATGTGTCATGTTAATGAAAGCTTTTAAAGTATTAATTTTAAAGTAAAAATTAAAGAATATGTTAGTTAAGGGAATATAAAATTGATTCAGGATCTTCAGAAGCTTGGATAATAATGGAAGCAAACAATTAAAAAAAGAAACATTTATTAACGTCTTGAAGAAAACAGGACTTGAGTTGACTACGGCGGTATGTTACAATCATTCCCTTTTTTTCATCTCTCTATTAATACGCGAAGTGAAAACTTTATTCCCATTTGTAAGACATTTTAGAGCTTGGAGGATCTTAAAAATTGTCTTGACACAGTTTAAATTAATGTGGAGAAGAAATGCATAAAGCCATTTTGAACCCTTGTTGTGGCAAGATTTTTTTTTAAGAAATGCAAAAAATACGCAAAAGCTAAAATAACTTTTACAAAACTAAGTTAAAAATTATTTAATAGTGATCGTATATTTTTATAGAGTTGTATGTATGGTATACTATACAAAATAAACATAAGATTTAATAATAAAAACAAATCTTTGATTTTAAATTATGCTGGAATTTAGACCAATGGGCGCCAGATTTAAGTTTAAAGTTTATCAGACATGTGGGTACTAATTATTTTTTTTAAAATTTTAGGAATCCGAGGAACTGGTCAATAAATTTGACACCGACAACAGTGGATCTGTTGATCTTGATGAATTTATTAAAGAACTGCGTGTAAGTATTTACGTTCGTATTAAATTTACTTAGTGCGTTGAATTAAAATTGTTGTTGTTAATAACATCTTGGTCTCCCTCAATGGTTATGCTTTTAGATTTAAGTTAACCTTAAGGCATTTTCTTAGTAACTTAAGTACCCTGAAATTACGTCACGTTGTTCCAGCCTCCTATGTCCGAGTCGCGACGTGCCGTGGTGGAGCGAGCATTTAAGAAATTAGACAAAAAGGGCGACGGTGTTCTGTCTGTGAATGATATTAGAGGAGTTTATTCTATGGAAGCTCATCCTAGGTAAATAACATTAAACACGAGAGGTATAATTAAGTAATCACTAAGGAATAAGTAATATAATGAAATGGTTTTTGTTTGCAGATACATGAGTGGCGAGGAGACAGCCGATGTGGTGATGACAAGGTTCCTCGCCAACTTTGAGCCGGACGGCGACAGCGCTGGGACGGTACACTTTGAAATTATAATACTATTAATAATTTATAATACGTACATTTGAGATTCGTAGGAATGAATGTTTTAGGGTTGCCATTATATAACTTATGAACAGATATCGCGGACGGATTATAATAATATTTTTTTGTAACAGGTAACACTGGAGGAGTTCATGAACTACTACAGTGGCATCAGCGTCTCCATTGACAATGATTGTTACTTCGACTTGATGATGCGTCAATCTTACAAGTTGTAATTTCAATATAAACGATTGCAAACGCACGCACGCAGCAACTTAATTCAATAATAGCTTTATGCTTAATGTTATGTATAAAATATATAAATGCATAATAAATAAATAAAATTATATTGGTGTTTCACTATTCATGGTAAAAATGACAAATGTATTTATACATACTAGCTGTCACCCGCGATTCCTTCCGCGCGGAATCAAAATTAAAATAAGCTACAGATCTATGACAAATTTCAGCAAGATCAATGCAGCCGTTCTGGAGATACCTTCGAACAAACATCCATCCATCTAGTCATTCGCATTTGTAATATTAGTAAGATTATCCGCACGGGAGGTTTGTAGATGACCCACTCCCACTAATGCCTCGCACGTTGGTTAACGCGTAGCGTGATAAGCCATCGGTACAGCTCCTGCGCACGATTAATATTAATATCTTTGCAATTTGTCTGTGGTTAAGGGTATAGTCATTTTGATAAATTGGTGTTCGAGCCTCCAAACCCATACGAAACATCAACAACGATGGAGGAGACTTGACCTGTTTGCTTTCAGTATGTATTCGGAGTTTGTTTGACAATTCTTTGAAAAAAAAAGGTCACATAAACTCTTTACTCTTTGAGTAGAAAGACACAGTCACTATATTCTATTCCTTTTTTAAACCGCTTTGTATTAATTTAAAAAGAAGACAACTATCTTTCACGTCTGTGTTCATATTATTTTTTAGACATTTATACAAGTAGGAATAAACATCAATTCCATCTTACTTGAATATACGCCTTTTGGATAAGATTTGGTTAACTGTAAAAAGTGTGGAAGGTATGTTTTATAACTAATTAATATTATTAAAGAAAGACATTGTCCTTTATTAGCGAACATGAGGTGTATGCGCTAGTTTAGTAAATAGGCATTTACTATAATCTTAGACATTACGAAGGCAAATTGTACGAAATTTGCGTACTTGGATACCTAAACTTTGTCATATCCGTGTCACAGCCATATAAGTCGCGTTTCCTTTGCTGGGAAGTCTATCCACGTTTCCACTGCCAAAAAATACAATGTTTAAGTATAGCTCTCTGGTGGTAGAAAGCCGCGTACCGATTTCCTTAAATATTTTTTCCAGAATAATGCAAAATGTGTCGCACCATTCAGTCGCTAATACAGACCGTCATATGTGCGCTACAAATGATCACACGGATCTTCATGACGGTGCTCCTGATGATTGAGAACATGATCAGGATGCTGCTGCAGTCAATATACAACTTTATATCGACGATACTTCAAATAATATCTCTGATACCGATCTGCTGCATATTCATGTTGACGGCTAAGATGCGCTGTCTGTTGTGTGGCGGAGGCGGCGGCGGCTGTGGCGGCGGAGGCGGCGGGGGCTTTGTTGGCTGCTTCCTCTCTGTAATCTTCTTTATCTTCTTATTTAAAGCTCTGCGGCACTACGGCCTCGCTGACAAATTTATGGCGCGCCTGGGCTATTCCAGGGTTTGGAAATACGAGGGTAAAACCTTCACCGCGCCGCCCTCGCCCGACTTTCTTAAGACATCCCCCAACGTTACCACGACGCCAAAGCCCTCGGGCAGAATGGGCCCCGAAGCTACCGATGAGGATATTAAAAATTATATCTTCGATGATTTTGAAAGTAGTACGACGACAGCCATAACAACTTTACAAATAGCGGACACATACGCTGCCACTGAGTATAGTAAAATTGGTAACTTGTCCACTACGCTGTATTATTTATTCTGAACGGTTTACTATTTTGGGAAATCATTGATTTTTTTTTAAATAAAGACAAAAAATTTTATAGTCATTTTTCAAGTTTTATTTACCGAATTAAACAAAACGATTGGAGAAAGGGGGCAGAAAGTGTCACAAAACTATTATTATATAAACACCTAAATATCTGAACCGGTGAGAGGCGCTGCTATCGTGGTTGGTTCCATAGAGTATATAAAACATACATAAAATAAATCTTACATGGACATAAAAGAAAAAGCATTACATGACAACTGCTGTATGTATTATACGATCTTGTGAAAGTTTTTGCCATCGATAGGAGCGCTAGTGAGTTTTAGTTTGACTTATGGCAACTGAAATGTTTGTTTATAGCAATCACATTAATATTATAAATGCATACGCAATTGCGTATGTCTATGGGCAACGGTCACTTCGCTATTTCAGCGATTTCAGGTGGCCGCTGGCTCGTTTGCCACTTTATGATATAAAAAAATGCGAATGTTTAGATGGATGGATGGATAGATGCTTGTTTGAAGTTTGTTGTACGCCTCCGGAACGGCTTAATCGATGTCGCTGAAGTGGTGTAGGTGTAGAACATAGTCTGGAAGAACACATTGGCGACTTATTAGGTGTTTTTCCAATTCCGTGCGGACGGAGTCGCGGGCGAAAGCTAGTCTTATAAAAATGATTATTTTGACAATTAATTAGATAATTCCGTTGGAATGGGTTGAGTAAAATCGGATATGAATATATTCGATTTTTGATGGTTGTTCTCATAGAACTTAGAATCGATAATTCGGTGATTATTATCTTTGAATTACAATATAAATTATTATTTTTTTTATATCAAAAGGTGGCAAACGAGCAATCGGCCACCCGAAATCGCTGAAATAGCGAAGTGACCCTTGCCCATAGACATACGCAATCGCATATGCGTTGCCTACCTTTAATCGACGGAGGAGAGGATGCACAGAAAGAAAATATTTTCCCTTCCCATGCATCCTCTCATCCGGAAAGTCCACTTCCACTTCCCATCCTTTCCTTCTAAGAAAAAGGGTGGGAAGGGAAAGAGGACTAAATTGGGCCTCCGGGACGCACACTCATCAGACGAAACGCGGAATTGCTTCCACTTGACGCCTGTCTTCTGTGTGGTGGTGGTATTTCTCCGGGCGAGCCGGGCCGATTCGTGCGAAGATGTTAAAGCTTGCTCTACCACTGTTAAAATAAATTGTTCCTTTCTATTTCTATTTCATTTATAAGAAACAAAAAAAGAAATAAAGCTTTATAGTCTAAAATGAACATTTACTTAGTGATAGCTTAAATTGTAATATTTATTTGATAGATTAATTTTATTATAAAACCGATTCTCGATAGTTAATGGGTATTTACTGTGCAAATGGTACAATCTTTATTATTTATTTTACATACTCTGTGCTATAAATATAAATCAATAACATGTGAAAGCCGTCAATTACGATAAATAATGAATATTGTGTACAAATTTAAGTGATAAATGTCTCGCCATTACTTGTGTTTCATTGCAATTGTGTCCATTCAGTATTACTTGTCATCTTAAATATAATTTAGATAAATATACTGCGTGTGCGATGTGCAATATATGTCCCCTTGTGCTTTACTACACTAAACTGGCAAATACTTCTCAAAATATCATAGTGGGCTTATTTGAATGCATAAGTACAATTATATGCGGAATTATTAAATGTATATATAAGACAGTGCTACAATTTTGTGATCTTATTCAACGTCTGACGAATTACATCAATGAAAAAGCGAAAAACTCATGCCCAAAGCCGCAATGCACCGTACAGTCATGCGAATTAATGTGCAGCATCAGTTGCTTGTTACTGATAGTCGTGGCTATTTTTATGATCATATTTCACACGCAATTGATTGATAATTTACTAGGTAAATACGATAGTACATTAAAAGAAGATACAAAAACTACAAATAGTAAAACTGAAGTTTTAGTATTTGTAAATAATACTACTTCTAGGCCCGCTACAACGCCTTTCACCCCACCAACTGAGCCGGGCGGGTTTAGATCAGGTCAATTGCCAGAATTTACTTTTAATATATTATCTGATCAAGAAAGTTTTAGAGCAAGAGATCACGAAGAATTGCGAGAAGTACATAAGGATGAGAAGATTGGTTTAACAGCAGAAATAAATCCTAACCTATTGGATGACGTATTTTTTAAACAACTACAAGAATCTACGGCGTCTGCTAATGTTGATCTTTATACTAATAATTTTAACGACGTCAAAGAACTTGTAAAAGAAAAACAAAGTATGACCAAAGTTTTATCGCTGCTAGAAGAAATTTTAACAAATATGAACTCAAAGAAAAAAAGTAGAAATACAAGACTGTCTAAAATTTTAAATACAGACACATATTTTCATAATGACGAGGAAGAAGAAAAAAAATGAATCAAATAAACACAAATATTATAACAGTATTTAAACAGTTATTAACAAAAGTGTAATCCCTTATTATGTAACGCATAAATGTACTTTTATCACACCGTTTGTTTTTTTTTAATTAAAAAAAGAGCGTCCGTGGCTCAAGGGTTTAAGCGCTTGTTTTGCAATCTGCAGGTCCTGGGTTTGAATCCCGCCATGCACCAATGTGTTTTTCGATTTTCGATTAACATATGTCATACATTTATCCGATGTTCTTACGGCGAAGGAAAACATCGGGATGCAATCTGCATATATCTGAGAAGCAGAAATTCAAAGATATGTGTGAAGTCAACCAACCCGCACTTGGCCAGCGTGGTTGACTATGTCCTAATCACCCACAACTTAGGGTAGGCTCTGAGCCCCTCAGTGGGGACTTGTAGTAAACTGATGATGAAAGAAAGGACACGATTATTTAAAAAAAATACAGTTTGCATTGTATTTATAGTCATAATCGGCAAAAATTAGATAACCCTCTACCACTAGTTTTGAAAAAAGCTTATAAGTGATAGACCTAGGAGCTAAGAGATATTCAGAGCTTGGTAACATCCCACCTAATGTTCCACCAATTATTCATGTAAAAGAATTAAACGAATGAGATTTTAGAAAAACGCATTTTGTAGCAAAATCGCTGTCCAAATCAAAATTTTACGTGAGAACAAAAATCAAGTAAATTAAATTTTCTATGTAACAAAAAAAAGTTGGCATCGATTATACAGTAGGTTGTAAAAATATGACTGATTTTAGTTTCGTGTTTGCGAGCCTCCTGTAGGTTTTATGACAAAGGTTTGGTTTACAAAAAGGTGTAGTTTGTGCAACAAAATTGTATTTTTTAATATTAACAAAATCTATTTATTACTTTTTGAGATATCTGAATAAATGTAAAATTTTGCAAACTTTAAAGCCCCCTAGCGGCTAAACAGAGCAACTTTGGATACAGGTAAGTTGGGTTAAATCGTCATATTTTCAACCAAGGAATCTGTGGTAATCCGTTGTACATGTCATATCCGGACAGCACGTATAACCGGCAAGAAAGACGTTGCTATCGCGGTTGTTTCTGACAGAATATATATCAAACCTACGTAGACATAGAAAATGGCATAATACAAAAAATGACATGACAGCTATCGACAGGAACTTGTGACATTCTTTGACGTTGGCAAGTGGGCGCTAGTGAGCAGTTCTAATTTAGTTTGACTTAAGCTCACCGGTTCAAATAGCCTTATCGGTCTATAAATCATTATAATGTGAAAACCTGTCGATTACGATAAATAATGAGTATAGATTACAAAATTCGAATTCTAGATGTCTGACCGTTGTTTGTGTTTCGTTATAACTGTGTTCAATCGGTCATCTATATTACTATTGGCCTTAAATATAATTTAGATAAATATACTGCGTGTGCGATGTGCAATATCTGTCCCCATGTGCTTTACTACACTAAACTGGCAAATACTTCTCAAAATATCATAGTGGGCTTATATGAATTAATAAGTACAATCATATATAGAATCATTACTTGTATATATAAGAGTTATACAAGTTTGCGATCTCATTCAACGCCTGGCGTCTATATTAATGAAAAAACGAATAGCTTATGCCCAAAATCGCATTGCACAATATAGTTCTGCGAGATAATGTGCACCATCAGTTGCTTGTTAATGATTGTCGTGGCTATTTTTATGATCATATTTCATACTCAATGGATTGATAATCTACTAGGTAAATGCAGTTCATTAAAAGCGAACGCAACTACTACAGCTAGTATAAGTACTCCAAGTACTACACGGACTACAACTAACGTAACCGGACCCGTAACCGGACCCGTAACCGGACCCGGACCCGGACCCGGACCCGGAGGGAGATTGAGATCAGATGAATTGGACGAATTTACTCATAATATTTTATCGGATCAAGAAAGTTTTAGAGCAAGAATCCACGAAGAATTGCGAGAAGTACATAATGACAAGAAGATTGGTTTAACAGCAGAAATAAATCCAAAACTACTTGATGACACATATTTGCAACAAGTACAAGAAACAACAGCTTCTGCTTTTGTTAATCCCCATACTAACAAATTTAGTGACGTTAAAGAAATCGTGAAAGAAAAACAAAGTATGACCAAAGTTTTATCGCTGCTAGAAGAAATTTTAACAAATATGAACTCAAAGAAAAAGAGTAGAAATACAAGACTGTCTAAAATTTTTAATACAGACACATATTTTGATAACGACGTTTACCAAGGAGAGAAATGAAAGAAATACCATGATACAGACAAAATAAAAACTGTAAGGTCCCAATTATGTTTTCCACAGCCGAAGGTTCCAAAAAAAACCGAGATATGTTCTTAAAATTAATTTAATAAAGCAAAAATAACGATATAAACTTATTACTAATTAACCTATGGTTCATCCGAAGTGTGGAATGGAATTGAATTGTCCAATCGATTGTTATAATTAACTATAAAACATCGGTGTCACTGCAGCCTCAGCGCCTCCTGACTTCCTATGTGGGTCGCGGCGAAGACAACGCACTGCTACGTCGGCGATGTTCTAACTAGACCCATATGTAACATCCCTGTGGCGTTGCAGCAGGAAGCAATCAACAAAAGTGTAATCCCTTATTATATAAAGTATAAATGTATATATCAATCACACCACTTGTCGATTATAAAAATATGAGAACGCGTTTTTATTTCATTTAACGTTGAATTAACGGAGGCTAAATAGTAAATAAAGTAGGTGATAGCTGTCCCCAGGCACCAATATACAAAAAAGACAGAGATTAGGAAGGAATGGCGGCGGCTCGTGAAGTGGGTCACGGATACCTGATGATCAACATCAGTTTAAAAAGATTGCAGCAACGAAGTAGTAAAAATTCTATCTTTTTATTACAAAGAGAATGCTTGTTAACATGTGCTTCAATTTTTTTTAAGATAAACTGACAGGTTTTGAGTTACTTCTAAGGGTCGGTTATAGTTGTATTTGACAATTTTTGAATCTCTAAGGGCCAACTAGCTGCCTCCCGAGCTGCCTTATGCGTCGCCCATACACTGAGATCTTAATGTTCGACGAGGTCTCTACCATTTTACCAAATTACTTCCTTAATACGAAATATTCACGCATATATTATAGATTCCAATAAAAGTTTACTCAAAATCGGTCCTGTCGTTTCGAAGTTAATCGTATAAAGAGAGTATTTACCGAATAATGATTACACATCCTTACATTTACATTTTACATTTTACCAAAAAAAAAACGACAATAAAAATACAAAGTACTTTATTGTTCACTTATTTTTATATTCTGTTTACAAGTAGACATCACTAGCTACGGAATAATTAACTAAGAGCAAAAACAACGAAACAATTCAATGCACAAGAAACACGGACACCAGAAAACCAAGGCAAGCATCAGTAACATGCAACGAGTGAAATCATGAAATATAGACCGAAACATCATATAATTTCTATGTAGGAATGGACAGGCAACAAACAGCCACAAACATGGCGTCTTCGTGTGCCTCAGGTAATCGTATTGACACTTCTCTAAATTCGATTCACGGCAGTGAGGTTTGTCTTTATTCTTGCAAATTACCAGTTTAGATTTTGATTTCTTTTTATTGGGTTTTGATGACTTCTTTTTCTTTCGTTTATTTTTGATCTCAGCTTTAAAAAGTACACAACATCTTTTGAAAACGCTTTTACTTTTCTTGATTTTTCTTCGAGTCTTGCCTTTCTTTTTCTTATTTTTTCTTTTACTCAATTTATTCTTTTTAAGGCTTTTAGCAGACTTACCTTTCTTATGTAATACAGTTTTTTGTTTACTTTTTCTTTTAGGACATTTAGGCTTTTTAGGCGGCTTACAACGTTTTTTAACAATTTTCTTTTTACGAGCAACTTTCTTGTTAATCTTTTTATTTGTTTTTCCACGAACATGTTTTGTTACTATCGAACCTGATTTACTTTTTTGCTTTTTCTTCACACATCTGTTAACTTTTGAAAATAATTTGAAATCACTGGTAGCTGTAAAATAAGTGCTTAATTTATTATATTGTTGAAAAACTATGATTTAAAAATAAAAAAAGCTGTGGAAATAAAATGACGCATTATCGCAAATTATGTAAATAACTGAGAAAGCATTGATGATTTGGTAGTTGCCAACAGAGCCAAGTGAATTCAGTCAAATAAAATTCATTTTTTACATAGAGCAACTGTCCTCCTGGGCTCATGAAATGCATTTAAATAATAATATTAATATATTCAAGTTTAACACTGGTAGAGCCCGCTTTAACATCTTCGCACGAATTGGCCTGGCTCGCCCGGTGAAATACCACGACCACACAGAAGACAGGCGTCAAGTGGAAGCAATTCCGCGTTTCGTCTGATGAGTGTGCGTCCCGGAGGCCTTAATTAGTCCTCTTTCCCTTCCCACCCTTTTTAATATAAGGAAAGGATGGGAAGTGAAAGTGAACTTTCCGGTTGTGAGGATGCATGGAAAGGGAAAATATTTTCTTTCTGTGCATCCTCTTCTCCGTTGATTAAAGGTAGGCAACGCATATGCAATTGCGTATGTCTATGGGCAACGGACACTTCGCTATTTTAGCAATTTCGGGTGGTCTCTCGCTCGTTTGCCACCTTATGATATAAAAAAAAATCTTACATTTTTGACTGGGCTTTTTATCTATTTTCCCTTCGGAATGTTTCTTTTTAACTGGAGCACTCGGACTTTTAGATTTGCTTCTATGATATCTATCCCATAAAGACATTTTCGATTCTACGCTTCTAACTTTTTGTTTTTTATTACATTTCCCTTTTGTAACTACCCAAGATTCACAATTTGCGTTCTTGGCGCACATCTTATTTAAATTGCTTATTTTACATTTAACTTCTGGATAGTTCAATATACGCATATTATTGCGGTCTATTTTAAGTACGAACATTGGCCCCTTACAGGCAGTAGCGATCGGCGAAGACCGTTGTTTCAAAATTGTTTGCACTTCTACTTTAGAAGTTGACGCTGGTATAGGGCAGTTTTTAATTTCCCTTTTTGGCAAGGACTTCAATATGCTTTTTAACTCCCTTTTATTTATAACTCGTTTATTATTTGGATCAATTTTAATCGCAACTAATCCTTTCGGCAAATTAACACACTCGTCACGAAAAGCAACCTTTTTTTTTGGAAATTTTCCGAATATATTAGGAGACTTATCATTACATCCCGAAGCATTTTCAAATATGATGCAAACCGGCTCCTTTTTGATATTAATCGTAAGCTTTTTTGTCTGATTCCGAGCGTCTTTGAGAGGCTTACCGCATTCTACATTTTGATTATTTTGCCGGCATCTAAATTTGGCATTTATACAACTAAAGAAATTCCCAATTCTATTGAACAACGACCTTTTGAAACAACAATCAGTGTCTATTCCTACATCTACTTTCTTTCTAAAACAAAAATGTTTGGGTGATTTCGGTGGTCCACATTTATCAGGACAAACATAGGATGGACAAGTGTCTAGATCGACAAAATAGCACATCGCATCGCTATTGAACTTACTACTGACAGGTTTATTACATACAACGGTGGAATTATCTTTATCCGATGTCTTGTAACTGCTTACACTTTGTTCAATTTTGTTTTTATCGAAGTTTTTCTTGTTTGTACTGTTTTCCTTGCTTGTAGATTTATTATTATTTAAAACGATTTCACATCGAGACTTGTCCAGTGGTAGGGTATTTTGGCAACCAATATTAGTCTGTACATTTTGCTTAGCGTCTACACAAGTTTTCTTTTGTTCATTTAATATATCTAACTTATTGCTCTGATTATTTAATTTGCTTATATCGTGCACACTCTCTGGAAGTTTTTGTCTAGGGCTAATCATTATTTTATCATTATTATTATTTAAAAATCTATCAATATATTTTAGAATCTCCTTGCACTTTGTACACACTTCATGTTTAATATTTTTCGATCTTTTCAATGTGTACTTGCTAGCTGAATCTATACGTGTTTTATATTTTACTTGGACGTCATCTTTGGGATTGGTGGTGGTTACCAATGCAGACACTACAGATCTATTATCAACTGTATTTTGTGTGAGTTGTTGCGACAGCTCGATACACATCTTCATATCCTTTATTTCACTATTATATTTTCTTACATTATTCTGACAGTCGTATATAATATTTTCTGAGTGTCTTCTTCTTGTTAATAAACCATCTTTGGTTCGCTTCTCCTGACAGCCATCTATAAAATCTCCGTTCCCGTTGGATTTCACAAGACCCGGAATTTGTTTATCGGAACTTACTTGCATTTTCCTAAGAAACTTTAAATTTACCATCGTAATTTAATGATGGTATCAATTTTTTTTTCATACTGTAAAGAAAGTAAACACTTCTAATTATTATAAGAGATAATTCTTTCGTGTACTGCTGAGTATTGATTTAACAAACATTTTGCGAAACAAAAGTTAGCCGTTGATATTTTTAAAAATATTACACATACTGAAATTTTAACCTCGAATAATAATAACACAATTGTATGACTTTCAAATATAACTTTACGTTTGATGACATACTGAAGTTTCATCTTGACAAGTTAGAGTGTCATAGATCCAAGCCTCACATATGAGGTTTATTATTTTATTATAAGTAGACGTCTATCCCTTACGGATATAATTGACCTAATTTATTAATAACATATTAAGGGCCTTATTTAAAAAAAAATAGACAACGCTAGACACGTCAACCGTGTTATACCGAGACTATAACGCCAGTCGCGAATTTTTGACAAATCGTGGCTACTAAAAACATTATGTGTAGGCTTGTTAAATGATTTCTTGACCAAAAAATAATGAAAGGCTTATACTAAAAGGACTGTGGTGATATTTATGGAGAAACATATAAACACTTTGACGTCCATAATATCCTTCATTAGCGTTCAAAGTATTAAAATACGTGTGTACTTAAACAGTATCTACGATTTTTTTAGAGTAATGCAGCAATTGCTTGAAATTTTAAAATGCAGTTATTTAACGCCTCACTTTTATGATTCGAATGCTCGAATATTTAAGGATGATTAGTTTGACAACTGATGCCTATGAAGTATCGAATTATTTTGAATGATGGATATTGTTGTACTTAATAGACGTTTGTCATAGTGTCGACCGTACGTGCATAACGATCAACTATAAACGATCTTGAATCAACATTATGTTAAAATTAATCGAAAAAATAAGTACTTAGTCATTTTATTACTCGTTGATTTTAATACTGCTATTTGGCTATATTTCGCAAAGTTAACTAAAAAATTTAAAACACATTTCTTTTTTGTTTGTCAAAACCTCAATAGGTTTTGAAGAATAAAGTAGGAATAGGAAGAAATAGTTTTGTTGAAAACGTAATTCAAAAACAATAATCACGAAATTTTCATTTTAAGTTCTATGCGAACAACCATCGAAAATCGAAAAGATTCATACATCTCTAGTAAATTGTCAGTGACTTGTCAAAATAATCATCCTTAATAATGACATATTTTATACATCTATTTATTCTTTGCACACTACCATAAATAGACATAATAAATATAGAAGTCTATGGCTTCCACATTGTTCTGTGTGTGTTGGCTCCAAAGTAATGAACATTTTCCAAATAAGATATGACCTAAAGGTCTATGTTACCAGGTCATAAAATAAAAAATAAAAATAAAAAATCTGCGTGTTCTGTGCCTGCTGTCACCTGTCACTGCCAAACTGCGAAGTAATCGCAATCGCATTCACGCATCCGATTTTCCATCCTCGCATTCGTCTTTGGTTCACAGTTCGGTTTTCACTGCTGTAAATCTGCAGTCAGTGTAATCAGTGTTATTGTTAACTTGGGGAATAAAATTAATAACCGGTTGCTGGCCTAAGAGCACAGGATTTTGTTACTTCAATTTGTTTGACAAATATCCAGATAAATTTATTAAAAATGAGAATCCACCTTATCATTTATACTATTTGCATCGGTAAGCTTGATGTGTATTTTATTTATTACTTATTGATTTAAACCTAGATTAAGATGTACTACTTCAGTATACAAAGAAATTAACATATTTTTGAATACCTTCCCATTCATGGTGATGTCTAATAATTGAATTTGGTAATCATCGTTTCCCCTGTTTTAAATTTTTTCCCTTAATTACTACAACAAAAATACAACACGTGAGAGTCTTGATTGCTTTAATTTTTGTTTTATCTTTTTAGATTATGAATATCATAAATCTCAGTTTAGAGTCAACTTTATCTCTAATAATACTGGATACAATTTCATGATATAATTTTCAATTATAGCAATTTCAAATGTCACAAGCTCTATGTTTTGTGGTCATCCAATATTTATGTAATAAAAATAATAATTTTTATCTATTTAATTTATCACTGTAGTATAATTTCTGTATAATTGTTTCAGGAGCTATATTTGCTCAGACAGATCTTACAGAAAGTGATGTATTATCAGCTTTACCAGCAGAATTTCAAAATGTGGTTAATGATAAACAATTACAAGATGGTAGGAACAAAACAACCGATGCAATAAAAAAAAAGTGTGAAAACAATGGTGGACCTGATGCATTCACCAATGTTGAGGTCAGTGTTATTTTAAATATTATAACTGTGTTTCCACTACAGTGAAACTAGTATTAATACATGTTTTGTCCCTTTCTTCGTAGAAAATGAAAAGGATAATAATATGTATTTAGTAAGTTTACAAAAAACTCAATACCTGGTGATGCTATATACAATAAAATATATTTTGTGATCAAATACTTGTAGTATATAATAGAAATGCAGACCTTAGTTTGCATATTTTTCTAAAATAATTTATATGTATATTTCCTTTTTTATATCATAAGGTGGCAAACAAATGAGTGGCCACCTGAAATCGCTGAAATAGCAAAGTGACCGTTGCCTATAGATATATGGGATTGCATATGCATTACCACTTGTTAAGTTCCCATCTACTTCCTATGCTTTCCTTATAAGAAAAAGGTTGGGAAGGGAAAGAGGACTAAATTTGGCCACCGGGATGCACACTCATCAGCAAAACACGGATTTGCTTCCACTTTACTCTCATCAATTTGTGCGAAAATGTTAAAGCAGGCTCTACCACTGTTAGTTCAGTTCTCTATTATAAGTTATTAGGAAATGGTGTATAGCCAGATTGATAACTACATGGGGAGAAATACAAAAAAATTTCAACTTCTTTGTTTAAAAGTTATATTAACTTTTGTAACTTTCCTTATAATTTGGTACCCTACACTATATGATTAGACACTGTGGCTACAAATATGAACATATTCCTGCAATTTTTTTTCTGTTTGCTACCTAAGTAACATAGCTATTGATTGCAGTTAAAAATGGGACCAAAACATTTGTAATTTAAGCACAAAAAATAAATTACTTTAACTGTTTTCTTGAAATTTTAAAACATTTTTACTTTTAACCAAGTTTGACATGCTACTGTTTATAATAAACGTACGAGGAACCAAGATTCTAAAATGCTGCAATACAATAATAAAACCTGCGAAAATTCTAAAAACTTATTAAAAACTAAGTGTTTAAATTGTATAGTTTTTAATAATTTTATTAAATGTTCAGAAAAAGGTTTTCGATTACTTGCTTTGAATGTAGAAAATAGTCAGGAAGTACACATAGGTTACTAATTAAGTTTTTTTACACTGCGCGGGCAGAGCCGCGGGCAACAGTTATATAAATAATAGTTGTTTTTGCGAGGAACATGTTGGCCCACGACTTGTTTAGCTTACTAAACATCGTTAGGTTAATTGCCTTCATATTGACCTTGCCTTCTGTACATTGGTTATATTTTATATCTAAATGTAATATAATATTTTGTAACATAGATTATAATTCTTCCAGTTGTTAATTAAAAAGTTTTCATGTGCGACTATTTATCCTGTTTAGAGTAATTGATAGTTATTGGTACGCCATTGTTCTGGAATTCCATCGCCAAAAAAAAATAAATAAAAAAAAAATTATGATATTTCCTGTTACTACGTATGACCTCATTTTTTAAACCACGAGTTGTTTAATTGGGGAAAAAAAAATATCAAGTTATCCCGTTGGCAGTAGTGGCATTAACAATTTTACTTACAAAGAGAGGTCAAAGTCTAAAGGCGCGTTTTTTATTGTCATATTAAATGCGCATGTTTATGACGTGTTTACATATACATTATGTATGTGATATATGATTATTGTGCAAGTTGTATATAAAGCACTATAAACAATTTAAAAATCACAATATCTTAGATTGCAAAATTTGAAATACGAATCGTAGGTCGGTATGAATAATCCAACTATTGTGTCGAAAATAGTGTCGATGACTAATAAAGGAGAATTATCCAACGCCTTCATGTTTTTATATTATGCGAATACTTCATTTTAAAAATCTACTTTTTTAATATCTTAATAATATAATAAATTCGAATGTTTTAATAGATGGATGTTTATTAGAAAGTTTGATCTCCAGAACGGTTCGACGGATCTCGATGAAAATTGCCACAGATGGCTTAGTCTGGAAGAAAACATAGGTTACTTACTAAGTTTTTTTTATTTAATTCCGCGCAAACAGAATCGCGGGCAAAAGCTAGTATTTTATAAATTATCTGTTTCAATACCAAAAGATTATTATATACATGTACAGTCAGCTATACGAATATTTATACATTTATAAAGCTTTGGACACTTGTAAATTCCTTCCGTTTTAAACATATGTATGCACGTGTAGGTCTGTGTGCTTCTGACCCAGTGCAAAATATATTTTTAAGATCGTGTTTCTAAAGTTTTATTTTAATTAAATATATATTCCTGACTGGTCGGCCTACCTATCAATAAGTCAGAACTTTTACCCTAGGGCCGTATGAGTTCATAGAATCAAAAAAACACCCAACTAATCGGCTTAGTTTTAATCTGTAAATTCAGTCTTGTTTCTATTTAATTCGTTTCCAATGACGGATTAAAAGCGTTCGTTATCTGTATCTGAAAATAGGGCTGCCATCTTTATATTAATGCTTAAAAAACTGGTAGCAAAAAATATAAAGTGATTAGTTTTACACTATCAACCCTATATATTGATGTCTTTGTAGTCCAAATACGCACTTTTCAAACTCAAGGAGTCTACGTCATGCTCGTAGAGGTGGCAGCCCTATCTGGAAGTAGATTGAAATTGGCCCTGCTTACAAGCTTGGAATAAAATTCCATTAATATGGTCTGCATTCACGACCTTTACCTTTATTTGCTTATTTCCGAATCATTTGTTGGTTTTAAGTTTTAAAGTTGAAGGACCCAAGCGGAGGTAGGTGACCGATCATGTCTCGGTGTTCAATTTTTTATGTCCAAGTAAATAATGGTTTGGCGAAAAACAGAAAAAAAAATTGATCACATATTCGTATGCGGTTGAAAAATGATAAAAACACACGTTCAGAAATTATATTTTTAGTATGTGACAGTTAAAAGCTTTTTCTAGGTTTACAATCGTTCAAGGCTCCTTCACGTTTTACTATAGAATGGTCAAAGCGACAACTTTCCGTCGCGTCTTTTGTTTCCGAGTCGTTACGTCACGAGCAGATGTGTCATTATGCTCAACCTACAGATATGCATAATTATAATACGCAGATATTTTGTCGAAAGACGTACGACTAAAATAAAAAAAGCAGACAAGACTAGACTATATTTTCGTTGTGTATTTTGAAACGTCAAGTCGATGCAGCTTGAGTGTATACGGAAGAGGAGACATCGACTCAAAGGGACGTATTGTGAACCTCTCCGCAATCTCGTGATTATTTTAATTTGCTCAATCAATCTAATTAACAAATGAATGCACAACGTGTTTGATTTTGGACATCTTCGTCACCAGAGGTGAACGAAGGGCATATTATTAACGAATAACTAATGAACGCCTACACACCCCAACCATTTACCAGAAGCGGGATTGGCCTCTATTGGATTCTACTGTCAATAACGAAAACCACACTACTAATGAATTTACGCCAGCAACAGCAATCGTTGTCATCCTTGTCCGATATTATTTTAAATAATCTCGACCTCGAATGTTCCGAGTACAGGATGTTCTATGTCTGTAACACATTACGATATGCCTTTTTGATAATGATACTCGTTACACCTAATTACTCATATCTATATCTTAACATATATTATTTTATATCTCTATGTAAAAAGTGACTGATATGTCAACGCATAACCGATACAAGTTTGCACAAATATTTCTGTTACTATGGCAGAATTATTAAGTACTAATTTTTTCTTAATGCCTTTAATTAAAACACACATTTCGATACAATTAATTAGCGCTTTGTTTTTATCCTCCACGCGGGCAACAGTCAAATTTATGTAAGCATTAGCTGTCGCCCGCAATTCCGTTCACGCTGAATTAAAAAAAACTAATTAGTAGCTAATGTGTTCTCCCACTCTATGTTCAACATCTATGTTAAACTAGCTGTCGCCCGCGACTCCGTTCGCGTGGATATATAAAAAACTTGATTAGTGTAGCCCACCCATCCATCCATCTAAACATTCGCATTTATAATATTAGTAAGTTAAATAAAAAGCATCTCTTCAAGGCATAAATTCAAAAAAATAATAATAAATAGTATCCTAGGTCCTTCTTCTGGCTCTAAGCTACCTCCTCACTAATTTTCAGCCATATCGGTAAAATCGTTCTTGAGTTTAAATAGCGTAACTAATACGACTTATTTTTAAATATATAGATTTCTGCGAGATCCGTGTCGCCGTTCTTGACATACCCTCTAACAAACATCCATCCAAATTCATCCTTTAAAACATTCGCATTTATAAGATTAGTAAGAATTTCTCATTGAAATTCTTTCACAATCAATCTTGACCTTTCTGTCATCATTACATGTCATCTTTACTTATAATTGTCATTGTAAAACTATAATTAGCATTATGACAGATGCAGAAGCCATATAAATTGTAAGGAATGTATGTATATAAGTAAATTAACTTAATAAAACTGCGTAAGAAACAAATAAGATATAGAATCCGTTTAAAGTGATCGATTTAATTAGTTCTGTTCTCCTCGTTCTGTTTAAAATAATTTTGGCCCTAGCACGAATCTTTGCGATAAGCGTCTTCCTATTAACATCGTCAATTATGCCAAAATAAGTATGAAATTTTTTGGTGTACTCACGTCTGATACAATTATGCATCCATGGTATAACATATAAGAAGTACGTAGCAGTAAGTCGGTTTCATCATCATAAGCTCACTATACGTCCCCACCGCGGGGCTCGGAGCCTACCCTAAGTTAAGGGTTATGAGGCCATAGTCAACCACGCTGGCCAAGTGCGGGTTGCTTGACTTTACACATATCTTTGAATTTCTTCTCAGATATGTCCAGGTTGCATCACGTTGTTTTCCTTCACCGTAAGAACGTCGAATAAATGTACATATGTACATCGAAAATCGAAAAACACTTTGTTACATGACGGGATTCGAACCCAGGACCTGAAGATTGCAAGTCAAGTGCTTGCCGACCGCTAGAGCGTCGGTGGCTCAGGATCGGTATATTTTGACAAAATTATTTATTATTGTTTCGGAATTCTGTATTAACTTGCACGTGGTGCGTCTGCTTTTACAAAAATGCTTATTGCCCAGTCGTGTCACGTTTAAAATCCACATTTTATTAATTGCTTTTTTTTTTAGCATAACAAAGCCAAACATTGAGTAAGTCAATAATTAAGTAATAAATGCATTTTTCATAGTTTGGAAAAAAAATATGAATCATTAAAGTATCGTAAAGTCGCTTATTAAGAAATCTTTCAACGTAACACCAAAAACAATAATAGTAACTGTACAATTATATAAAAAAATCCACGTTCTTGAGAATTGTTAACGAATTACCCGCGACCTTGATAAAGTTAAAGCTAAGAATTATTGTGGTCAAATATAACTTTTTTTAGGTACGATAATTAATAAGCGAGAATATTTAGATTTGTTAATGACTTGAACACCTTGGATTTATAATTAAGTCTAATAAAACATAATCTTTTACAGTAATTTACTGAGACGACATCGGACGGACATCTTGCGCCCCTATAACATCTTTTGACATCATTTAATATACTTTCTTGGTATTCACAAACGCTTTATTTCGGTCAATAATTCTAGAAAGGGATTTGATTAAATATTAACACAGTAATTAATTACAATAAACCGATAGATACCATGAGATACCATAGAGAACAATATTTCGAAAAAAAAAAATATTGATTTGGGATCTTTATACTATTTTTGTTAGACGGCTCTATTTATATTACCTAGTAATAGGTCAATAACAGTGTGTTTCTTTGGCCTGTCTATTGATACATTGTTTAATGTATGTCTGCAATTGTGTAATATTGTAAAAATGCTATTATATTTTTTATGTTTGATTTCAGGGCGCCATGACCAATTTGCAATCTTGTATCCAAGGCTTGATAAACTTCTCAAGCCTCGGCGATGAAATAGAAAAGGCTAAGCCCGATGGCAGGGTCGATGAAGTTTTTAAAAAGTAAGTACTACATTTTCTAACGTATGTATTCGTTTCGAAAATTAAAAACGAAATTTAATTATCCGCGAAATTCCAGTGATTTAAAAATTTGAGATTAACATATTTTTAAACGAGTTGTTTTGACACTTATTAATTGACGAATATATAATTATATTATCGTAAGCTAATTGTTAAGTAATTGCGAAATCTGACATCGTAGTTTATTTTGAGGGCGTCGGCCCCAGAACAATCGTTTATCAGCGACCGACCTATGATTGATATGTACATATAAACACACACATGCAACATATTATATGTATAATTATACATAATGTTGATTGTACATAATAGCTATTAGAGTGGAGGAGGTCATCCATAGGACTAGTTGTTCGGCTGTAAGGCCCATAATGCTTTTTAAACAACCGAAGTTCCGCTTTAAATAATATTAAAGTAAATGTGATACTTAACCAGTCTTTACTTTCTTATAGAATCATTTGATTATGATTTAAATATTGAAAATATAAGAATTATGAAGCCCTGGTATATTTTTCAAATATCTTAGTCGCTCAAGGTCATATGCGGACTGAGTTGTGCCCTCTCTAGAATCTATACGCCCAGCTATACTTAACATTATATTTACAGCAAATCGAGTGAAGTTTCGAGCTGTCAAGACATTCGATAAGCTCAAATTGCGTATCTTTTGTACTTTAAACTGCCTCAATATTCCTTTGTCTTAAATAGAAATAATTATCAACAATATTATTGTGAAGATGACGTGATGAATTGAACGATAGCGTGGGACATTAGAAACAAGCTGAATGATGTAAACAATGATAAATACTATAGCACGAAATAATAATATTTTAATCAGATTTATGATCTCATTATTTGAATTGTTCTATTCTTAAAGTAATATTCATAATAATTAATGGCATTAAACATTTTAATATATATATATATATATATGATGGTATAATATAGAAGAAAAAAGTTACAGAACTCTTTTAACCAAAAAGGTTGAAGGTTGCAATTGCTTATCTTATTTATATCATAAGGTGGCAAACGAGCGAGCGGTCACCTAAAATTGATGCAATAGCGAAGCGACCGTTGCCCATAGGAATCCGCAATTGCAGATTTGTTGCCTATCTTTAATCGACCGAGGAAGGGATGCACAGAAAAAGAATATGTTCCCGTCCTATTCCACTTCCCATCCCTTATTTAAAAAAGAAAGGTGGGTGGGGAAATCGGAAAAAAATTAGGTCTTCGGTACCACATTCATCAGACTAAACGCGCATCGTCGAAACGCTTCTACCACTTGACGCCTGCCTTATGTGTGGTCGTGATATTGCATCGGGGGAACCGGCCTATTCGTGCAAAGATGTTAACTTATGAAAATATATGTTGTTAGATATTGCGACAAGCGTCCGGCATTGCTGAGCTGTTTCCACAACGCGATGGATGTGGTGCAGCATTGTTTAAGCGCGGAGGAGAGACAGCACGTGCCGCCGCTGCTCAACATGACGCACCAGCTCGCGGAGTTCATCTGCTTTAAGGATGGAGACAGGATCGCTCGTATGTCGAAACAACTTTAGTACATTTGCATGAATGTGGAATAAGTGAGGAAGGTGTGCCAGGATCATGCCAAATTAAATTACTCTCCGTTTATCCCGTTTGGTTTTGTTAATATAATGACGTGACCCTTGGTTTTTCTGCGAATCGTGAACTTTACCCTTCTGATAAGAAGTCAATTACTTTTTCAATCGTGACCAAGTGAGGTGTCATTTACATTGCTTGATAATATTTATTTACTAGCAGTCGCCCGCGACTCCGTCCGCATGGATAACTATCCATGCGGACGGACACTATCAAACATCTTTACAACAAGACATTTATAATATAAGTTGACTATAAAATTATAGTCAACTAGCTGTGGCCCGCGTCTTCGTCCGCGCGATTTTAAAATAAAATTATTAGCATATGTGTTCCAGACTATGTTCTTCATCTATACCAAATTTCAGCGAAATCCATTCATCTACACATTCACATTTATAATATTAGTAAGGTTAACTTTTACACGGTGTTTCTTAGTTTGTCCTTGAAACATTTTAAGACTTGAAAATTTTATAAATGAATATATTGCAGTTTTCATCGCGGAAAAGGGTCCCGAATGTCTAACAGAGAAGAAGGAAATGATCAATGATTGCTTGAACAACACGTTTGTTTCTCCGTTAAGCTACAATAAAATTCCCGATGAAATACCGACGATTAAGTTTGGGGTAAGTAATAGAAAAAAACATTAATAAATTCGCTTAGGGCTGTGAAAAACATAATTTTAAATATCCTCGAAATTTTAAATGTATGTAGTAAAAACGTATGTAGTTTTCGGAACTCGACACTGCGCTTTGTTCGAAGTTTGACTCTTGTGAAACTTATATAAAAATGCGTAAAACACTAATATATGTCCGTCCGGTGTCGGCACCGATTAGTTCCGTGCCCATCGGGGACCCTTCATCAGGGTGAGAGGGACTGGTATTATTTCGCGGACGCGGTACCCAGCTCACTCACGGCGAACATACGTCAGTGTTTTAGTAGTTGTTATATAAGTTTATAATAATTTTTAGACCCCAATATCCTAATGGTTAAGAGTACAGATTTCCATTCACGAGGTCGGGGGTTGAATCCTGCCAATCGACTTTTGTAATGTCCTAGCACTAGCATATAGAGCTTAGTTGGATTGGTACAAGAAATATTAGCAAATTATCAAAAAAAACTGCTAATATTTAAAAAAAAATCTTACAAAAGTCTGAATAATTTAATATTTATTTTGTAATTGTCAGGAAAAAGAATGTGACCAGTTAACGAATGTACAAAGCTGCGTGGTGGCTGCGCTGGAGACGTGCGCGGTGCCCACCTCCGCCAACATCGTCGAGTCTCTCTTCAAGTTCGCAAGAAAGTCGCTGCCCTGCAAGGAAATATCTGTAAGTATCGATCTTAAATCACACTGCAAAATGTTTCCCGTTGGGCCGATCAGTCTACCGATCGATTGGCTCACAATCTGTGGTATATATGAAATCAATCGACCCAACGGCAAACAATTGGCCATTGGGTCGATTGGGTGGGCCGATCGGCCCAACGGGAGACACCCAAAAATTACCATTGAACAGCTCTAAGCCGGCAGAAAGTTTTTGTATAAAGATGCGGCCGTGCCAGTGGAAACGTCGAGTGGCTGGTCGCAGTAGTGGAAAAGGGGTTTTAGAATTTCATAAAGCTTATGACCGTCAATAGTCCGAATACTTCAATAATTTCTTGAGTTTAAATTTAATATTTATGACAATTTTTTTACAAAACATACAACAGGATGACGAGGATATGGAAGGCATTCATGCTAACAAAAGTGCTGTAAGTTTAGTGTTAAACCAAAGTGCCTTCTAGAATTTTTTTTATTTATCTTAGTTTTTTGCTCTAAACAGAAAAAAAAAATTGGAAATTCCGACATTATTTTTACAACTTTTGAGATTGCATGTTTATTAAAGCAAAGTATGTTATGTGATTTTTTTACTACTTATTATTTTATTTTATCTTGTTATTGTACTTAATTCGGTTTTTTAGGTTATGCATGGTTTTCGTAGAAGTTTGAAATTAATTAGTTTCATTAATTATATTTATACGTCCGCGTACAATTAAAAAAAAACTTGATAAGTAGCGTGTGCGTTCTTAAAGACTATGTTCTACATCAGTGGTTCCCAAACTTATTTTGTCTACCCACTTTGAGAATAAATATTTTTTAGCGCCCCCATATTTTCACATATTTAAAAACCACTATAATTTCAATTTAAATTAATTAATTATTGTGACCTATATATGTATATTAAAGGAGAATTCTAAACGAAACTTTTACTATAACCCGCAACTTGAAACCTGTAGCGCCCACAAGGGGGCGTTATCGCCCACTTTGGGAAAGACTGTTCCACATGTATGCCAAATTTCATCAAGATCCGTTGTGCGGTTTCGGAGTTACCTTCAAACATCCATCCATCTAAACATTCGCATTCATAATATTAGTAAGGTTAGTAAATCTTACTAATATTATAAATATCTTAATAGATGTAAAAGATTAATTTCTCTAACTATTAAATAACAATGTAACTTTTCAGGACACCACGAACAAACCAAACTCTGGTAACGCAGTGGGCGTGGCCTCTCTCACTATTGCAGCGGTCATTGTTGCTAACATGTTCATTTAAATATTTTTTGTGTCATGTCATTTTGATATTTCGGGTGGTTTCCGAGATCCATATCTCCGTATAAAACATATCGTCATCTCTGTCATTATCTTTGAGAAAATAGAGAGAACAAAATATTGTAAACGGGGAATTCGGTCTCAGAAACCCGTGGTTAGTCTGCTATAGTGTGACCAGCTTTTAATGTTATTTAGAATAAGTATCAAAGTATTTCTTAAGAGTACAACGAAATATTAAATAAAAAATCCAAAGGGTTATTTTTTAAAATTTCTAATTTTTTTTTTGTATTTTGGATCTTTTTGTGTACATTCTAATAGAGAGTACTGTAAGAAAAGATGCATATTACAATCGTTGCCAATTTAAAAACTTTGATACAAAATCATAAATTAATGTTTTGTATTGATTTAAATATTTTATTGTATTAGTTCTTTGAAGAAATTCATTGAGCAATATTGATATTTAATGCTGTAGTACAAAAGCATAATATTTTTTAATGATTAATTTTTTTTTGAGAATTAAAAAAAATCCAATGAATTAACGTTAATGATATTAAAGTAGAATTATAAGTAATTGGCTAATTTTTAATTTGTTTTTTATTTTATTTATAATGACATGACATAATCAAAGTTTTAGATGTAAAAATAGATTTAGGGCTGGAGCCATTTCGTGAACAACATATCGTCCCCTATGAATTTATCAATACTTTGCTAAAATATTCGCTTCCATCCAGTACTTATAGACTAAATAATAAGAGTTTTTATCCTACCAAATTATCAAAGTTATAAAAAAATCAATAAAAAAATGTTTTTCAATTTTTTTCTTGAAAAAATTTCTAATATGGAATTTTTTGTGAGATTTTTTCTAAATTACAATTACAATACAATCTTAAATATTACAAAAAAAACCGTGAGATTGTGCCAAAATTTTCCACTATTATACATTAAAACAGGGAAAAAATCGATTAAAATACCGGTTTCCTTTTTTTTTTTGGTAATTTTATTTATAACGACTGGCAACTCATATTTCTATATTTGGTAGGTTTGGTAGGATAGTAGGTTTTCCTCTATGCAGTTATTTAAACAGTTGTTAACGTTATAACGTTTCAAATATTATTAGGATTTTATAGTGCGGGTCATTTGTTTCATAATATTAAATGTTCATATTTAAAGTTTATTTTTTGTTAATTTACGTATTAACATTAAGAAAATTAACTAATAAAATGTGTTGCTTATATAAGTTTTATTTGTTCAAAATAATTTTTATATTATTTTTTAATTATTTACATTTAATACGAAAAGTGAGTTTTATTTTTCTACTCTATATTTTAATTTATTCCATGACATGTTATAGCTTTTAAAGCTTTGATAGGTAACATAGAGTAACTCGTAATAACTCCATTTCAGTTTATAGAGGACATTTTTTAATTACATAAGAACAATTTTGATAATTTTAGAAATGTATAATTAAAAAAAATATAGAAAGTTATTGTCTATTACTTGTTTTCAAACAGTATGAGGTTTGAATCATAATAAATAATTTAACGTTTTTTTTTTTACTCTAGGTATGGAATTCTCAGTTCAAACTTTAAAAAATATTCAAATCCATTTCTTGAATACGTGCGAAACTTTTTAATCAATTTTTCATATTTAAAAAACCTTCCATTTTATTTATCGTGCTTGACCTGGATAATGTTTTTTTTATTTATATTGTGAATTTGTAATCGTGGCTATAAAGTTATAAATAAAAAAAATTGTAATAAAATATTTTTTGTAAGTTTTTTTTTATTATTGTTTTAAAAACATTTAATGCGTCATATTAAGATTGGCTCAATGTATTCCCAGCTTGTTGATGTTTAAGCATAGGTAGATCATAATTGTGATGTCGCTTTGTGATAAACTTCCAGAAATATATTTATGGTGGTGTAATTTTTTGGATTTTTATTTATCTTCATCCCCCTTATATTAATGATGTAGTCTTGATGCGTGTCAATTGAAATACTGCAATCATCGCACCAAAACAGTCGCGCGTGGAATAAACGCGCGATTACACACGCCAGTGGAAACGGGGTTAAGGTACAAAGGTGCCTAACGATTTCTTGACTAAAATAAAACCACTACTTATAAACTAAGGCGTTTATTGAGATACATGATTTTATTAACAGCGTTTCACAGTTTTGGTCTTCACTGTCCCTGAAATTAAACATAATACTAACATAAATCAATGTTTAAGCGACATATAAGTAAAGGAATTAGGCCTCCGACACACAATACATCAGAGGAAACGCGGAATTACTTTCAATTCACCTCTATGTGCCATGTGGTCGTGGTACATCAAAACCGCGATTCATGCAGCAGCGTCATGACGCGTACTTTACTCTTGTTATTGTAAACACGAACAAGACATTACGAAGTCTCTGAATACATATGGCTAGTACTTTATACTGACCTTGCAAGGAGTTCCATTGCGCACGTATCTGAACAAGGACTCGGCCATGTTGGCGGGTGTGGGCGTGTCACACTCCTCCAGAGCTTTCACGACACAGCTCGTCAGTTCCGTGTATTTACCGCATTGATCCTGTACAATTACAAAATATAGAATATGATCCCGTATTTTTATAAGAATTAATTAACTTACTTCCATTGAAAAATTGTAAAATTTCGTGAAAAATAGAACAAGAGAATATCTGCAATCAAATTAATAGGACAATAGATTCTCAAAGGAAATTATAAAGTTGTGCTGCCATATAACAATATTCTAGGATATAAAATGACTTACACCGAGGCTCAGAATTTGAGCTGCCTCAATAGACCCCACGCTGCTCTTGACCTTCTCGGCGCATTGTCTGATGGCAGTAGCCTTCTGCTGGAAACACTCCGGACCACGTTCCGCAATGAACACTGGAAAGGATTTTGCATATTGTGTAATCATAAATTTTCGTGATTAGAAAATCATTAAAGTAGACGACTTTCACACTTCTCTAAATACCTACTTAGTTTTAATTTTTTTTGCAAATCTAAAAAGATTTAATAAAATGTTTGTTGACCCTTGGAAAATTGTCAGAGTACCCTTGCGTTGCAAATGCTTGGTAGGGAAAAAAGCATAAAAATAGAAGTTTAAACATTTCTTGAAATTGAAACTTACAAGCGATACGGTCGCCGTCCTTGTAGCAGACGAAGTCAATGAGCTGATCGGTGGCGTTGTTGGCAGACCCGATGCCGTCCCTGCTTTTCTGGTCGAGGCAGGGCGCCACGCCCGCGGTCAGGCTGTGGATACAGCTCTTCAGCTGGGGTGTCTTTGCGCAGTACCTGTAATAAACAAATTGCAAAGATTTATACCTAACCATTGCCGTTTCGTATGCAGTAGGCGCTTGTTTAAATAAGCAAACTATATTTTTTTACGCCTAATGTAATTCCATGTATGCAATCACAGCCGTTTAGTGATCGAAGTAGCAGATAATATAAATATAAAGTAAGTTGGTTGAGTTAGGTATTTTTTATTATTGTGAACTTACTTTTTGAAGACTTCATCGAGGGCACCGTTCGGTTTGGCTTCTTCTATTTCGCGTTTCAGCGTGTTGACGTCCACCAGTCCCATCACACATTCCACAAAAGTCTTGATAGATTTCTAAGAGTAAATAAAAATATATTCAAACAAAGGGTACTTAAATTAGTTTTTTTTATGTATAGATATATATTTTATACGTAATCAAGAGATTTTAACATTCTATTCTTAACATCTTTACACTTAATACATGTCTTTAATACATGTCTGACTTCTACTAATAACGACTAATATCAACTGATTGTTATAGATTGAGGTGTCCGGCTCTTATTCTTTCGCGGAATGTAACGTGAAATATCCACAACGTAGACATGTGCATCAAAGTGCCCTGTGTCAAGACAACAATGGTTAGATAGTGTCTGTATTAGCGGTGGAACTGCCGCGCCCACAGACTTAATGTTTGTAATCGTAGTCAATAAAGTTTTTATTGTTAACAATTAGTTACCTCAACGTCGTCAGTTTTGTCTTCACTACCACTCTTCTTGCATTGCTGTCTCAGCATATCCTTGTACTGCTGCCTCTGACCCTCTGTCAGCTGGTACTCCGCCAGCACCCCTAGATTATAAGAGTTTTTTTTTAATATACAACTTAAGGACTGTATTCCGAAAACGAATAACGCTGTCATAGACACATAATTTTTAAACCAATATCTACGTTAAAAAAATGTGTAATTTCACATTATTACAAATAGTCCTACAAAATCTTTGAAAAAGTCACCGTACCGTAATCATATCAATGTCACATTATGCCTAATTAAACACAAATGGTCAACACCAACGCTATTATTAAATGTTTGTTTATAATTAAAACTTTTATCAATGCTCTATGACCTTGTTGGTCGGACCACTTTCATATCTAAACTAAACAATTTTACATAACACATCCAACAGCAAAATGGTTTTCGGCATTGTCTTTAATTCTCGAGAACATTGTTGAACACACAAAACGTAGCAATATGATTGAGTCGCAATCAACTTAGAATTTTCTTAGCAGATATTTACATGTTGCATCATGATGTTTTCCTTTTGCATAAGAATGTTGATTAAATCGGATGAAAACAAAACAGATCTATCTAATTTTCGATTCTTTTATAAGCTAGAGATTTTTTTTCTATTTATTTTTTTTAAGGGACTTTTGTTCTTTTGAACATGTCAGTCCCATAATCAACAAACACATAATCAATCAACGTAGGAGCTAATTACAAAAATACAGTAAACTATACAAGCAAGCGATATAAAATTAAAAAAAGCAATGATAATAACAATATATAACAAACAAAAATATTTACACTTAATTAATATCTATAAAGCCTTTAGCACCATATTTCGGTCGTCGTCTGCTAAATCCGACCACGGTTGGGCCAAAGCAAACAGAAGTTCGCCAACATTGAAATCTAGAGAATTATATTTCTTAAAACTAATTGAACAATAAACAAGTAATTACAATGTTATTATTATTTATACTCGTGTTGTTAACAACATTCTAAATAACTAATTATTGTGATAAAACTAATTAAAACGTATGATTATGATAAGGAAAGTTCCATTCAAACTTTAACGACAAAATGTTTATGTTATTGTGGCTTACTCTTAATTTGATCATGTGCACACAGCAGAAATAAATATATATTACCATAACTATGTTCCAACCATGTACTTTATCATAGTATATAATGGTTCAAGCACATAGATATACTGGTACTTTATGTAGAGTCCCTGTTGATTCCCGTTTGTAACATGTAAAAGGTCCTCGAAAATACGTTTTAAAATAGCCTACGAGTACATTAGCGGCATCGTCGCTCTGACGATGTAAATTGGTAAATGACTCGGTCTGCAGCAGGATGTGGGGACGCAGGAGTTTAGTGCCCAGTCGTATGCAATCGGTAGACATATCAACGCCCGCGCACAGGATTATGACCTTTAAACTTATGAGTTTTAAGCCTGAAAT